GAAGAAACCTTTAATTTTTTTTCTCTTGTCTTTATCCAATGGCCGTCGCCCCGTGGTCTTACCTCATGCATTGGGGTTGGCGGAGGGGGATGAATGCCCGGAATTCTTGAGGCAGAGCAAATTATTGCGGTCCTATCATGCGGGGGAGGCGGGAAATAAGCTTCTACATGAGTAAGTTCCAGTGGCCTCATGCTTATTAGGTAAAGGTTGTCACAAGGGTAATCCCTGGTGAGCCTATTAACGCGAAGGACTTGAAACAGTGAGGTCATGAGAGATCACTCGGACCTTGGTTGAGACGGTTAGTTTATTTCGGGGAGTTGGGGTTATAAAACGGCATGCGATGCAGATCTGTAAAGAAAGGGATAGGTGTACGTACGCGACGGTAGGTCGGCCGAAGGGATACCTGGGTGTACGTATATACTATATATTACCTCGATATATATATCTTGTGTTCGAGGGCGTCCGAAATCAGTTTTATCCCAGGCAATAGCACCCAAAGTACTATTGGTTGCGATCATTATATTTAGTTAGCGCTGGGTATCAGACGAGTGATAATCCGTGACGTAGATGAAACTTTTCTCACCGGTAAATAGGCCCGCTGAAACGCAAACCAAATAGATATAGCTCAGCAAGCAATTGCATGATATTATAGTGGTTCTATTCCTGCAGCATATCTGGCATCAATTGTATTTGGAGCGGTAGAAAGTCGACACAGCAACATGGGAACCTGCATCAGCTCAGTTTCAGCTTTCATCTTTTCGGGAGCGACTGTTGCTGTATACGTACCCCTGACTTTTCACTACCATGATCAGTTGTAAGCTAGTTTTGAGACAGCTGCAACTTTCAGATGTTTATTGAAATATTCCGGGAAACTCTAATATCAGTGATGCAAGAGTCCGAGACGCGGACAAAAACGTTTCCGGCGATTTCGGAGACGGATAGTAAGATGCCATAAGGAAATATACCTCTATCTCGCTTCGGAAGATCCTAAGAGCGTCCCGATGTACCTATACAGTCTTGTACCTGTATCTATAGTAGCCCAACGATCTAGGACATGCCCAGCGCTCTAGGATTCGCCAGCAACGCTGTACTAATGAAATGGTAGATAGACCCCCGTGTCCAGATTTATTGAACATTAGCCAGGTCGATCATAGCCAGTTTCATATTAAGATCTACAAATATATCAACGTTTAGAGTTTTTTCTCCGAGTGTCAATAAAGCTTGACCGTACGGGTGGGTACTTCCGCTCCTGGTTGCCATGGCACGGCTCAGAATCCCAGTTTATTATTATAGGAGGCTTACGAATCAGGTTATATGTGGAATTCACAATAAATTTCTGCTCCAACTGCTGGTATGTGGTTTGTCATCAAAGTGAGAAAAGAAATGGATGAAGAAGTCTTCGCGGATTTGGCTGCTTCTCTCCAACCGCTCATGCAGTTTATCGTAGATGATTATGCCGAAGGCGTACGTATTGAAAGAAAGGCTTGGCTGCCCGACCCCCGGTATTCCCTGGACTTTATCCACACGGCCCGGGAACCCGATTGCTGCTTTTGGACACATATATATATCTATAAATTGTGCTATATACTGGCTTCTTGCTTTCGCAATTGCCCCTATCATATACATATAATCGGACCCAGTCCGTATATATATATGAGTAGATAAATACCTAAGTAGATGACCATCCATTTGGGACACAAAGTATTATAAGCAACGCATATTGCCTGTATTCGATTTACCAAAGTTGGGGTAGATTTTCATGCGCATATTCGTTAACCCTCCACTATAGTGCTCCGCTGGCTCGGGACCCGCGCATAAAAAGAAATTCTCATCTTTGAAGTTCTTTAGGATTAGTGTACCATCGGTAATGCGTTTTCGAGGCGTGATTAGAGTAGAGTACGTGGAATTAATATGAGATGGTAGTTGAGATGGTTCCGGACCCTTTATATCTTGGGAGATGTGGTGGCGCCAGTATCTGTTATAATGCATTGTGCTTTTTCAACTGATAGCAAGCGGTAATCGATTGCATTATAAGCCCATTAATATATGGATATAATCTCCAAGCCACTGTAGTGTCTGGGTAATGTTATGTGACTTGGCTAGGTTCTCTACCGGGACTGTGATTCATATAAAAGTCAAAGGTAACTCAGTGACCTAGACAGCCTTGATGTTGATCGTTTGTACCTAGTATCCCATCAATAATTTTCAGTAATCTAAAATATAGCGAGTAATCAGAATTTCATGTGAATGGAACTCACCGCCTTGATCATCATCCAAAATAGTAGAATGTGAGGCACATATATTGACTACGAGCAAAGATTGAGGTACGTATTGATCCGGTCCATTATAGGATGGGATGAATAATTCTCTGTTCTGGAATTTCAGACTTTGGTGATCAACATAATCAAATAGAATAATTATGGCCGAAGTCGTCAGAAATAGAGGCCACGGCCAAAGCGTCTCTCAATAAAGCGGTATGTAGAGTTGAGAGGCAAATTGCAAAGTAAATGGGAAAAAGGACTTTATCATATCCGTGGCCCCAATGCGGAAGGCACCAGAAATGGAGGCCAATCTAGGTAGAAAAGCTGACTCTATCATGTTCGTGGCTCCAGCGCTCATCTGTTTTTCAACAAGTGCCGGGTTAGCTGCAGAATGTACATGAGGGATGAAAGATGATGGGAGAGGGACGAGAGAGAAACCAATTTACATAAACGTGCCCACAACTCTATGCATTGTTGCAATTTGCTCTAGCTACCTGTATTTGCTCTAGCTATCTGTATTTGTCATAGCTACATAGTACCTGTATTTGTCAATATCCATATACATGCACATGCCTTGACGTAACGTTGTGCTGAGGCGTGGGCGCATTACCACAACACCTACATCTTCACCGGCTACCCCATGGTAGAGACACACTAAAAGATAGTTTTAAACATTTCTTGAAACCAGGACGACATGTTTTAGAGGAATCAATGGGAGGCCTAACTTTAGAACGGTTAGCAGATGAAACCACTACTCGGGAGTCGAAGTGGGCCTGGTTATCCTCCCGGCGGTGCAAACGTACTGCTTCTTCATCTATCCGCCAGCACATGTGTCAGAAGAGGGGTGGGAATGAGTCTAGGAAGACGGCTACTTGCAAATGAACCGATTTATGTTCTCGGGAGGAGGGATTGTCTGGCCTTCCCGCGTAAAACCTTAAAACTGCCACTAGCGCTTCCAAGAAAGTCTAAACCCCATCGAGCGATCGAGTGATATATCGTGAGCATAATTCACAACACTGGCGAGAACCACATCGTGAGCTCATCTAGCATCAAGTCTTTCAAGATATGTACTGCACACATACATAGTTTTCTGTATAAAGAAGTATTTTTCGTCTTACCGGGGCCGTCCTGAAACCGGTTTGATTTTGTTTCTTGACGAATTTCGACGCAAAAAGGGACATTTTCATCTCCAACGCACGCCCAAGACCGTGCTAACAACATGTGGCAGACCAAGAGTATTTTTTGCTATTACACAATCGTCTAATGGGCCGCCCTTCGTAAACTTGCAATTTAGGTCATCTACAAAGAGACTTATTGATATTAGAAGTAACTATCGAAAACGGTTTAAAGCGACACAATTTCCAGTAAGTGGACGTGCTCTGCAATAAAACATGGTACATGACACAACAAGACACCAGCAGTTCGCCATAATCCAAAACGCAGAAACAAAGAGCTAGTGGTTCTACCTCATCTTGGCACATTGCCAAGCTAGCTCAAATATCACTTCTGGCGCAGCATCCACCATGGGCGAGTGGTCTCGTGGATAATAGACTGCTCGTCGGGTTAGACACCGAGTGTTTACCCAGGACACACCGCAAGGTCCTGGGTTCGAACCAGGGGTGGGGGTAGTAACGCTCAATCAGCAATAAGTCGTTACAGTACCTTTTGTTACTTTGCTCTTTTTTTCTTTTTCTTTTCTTTCTTTCCTTTCGTAGTGAAATAAATTACACAGCTAACTCGATACGCCCCGGCCCGTCTTCCTCGCCGGCCTCAATGCGCCTGGTTCGTGGGCCACACTGTGGTGTGTATGCATGTATCTGTGTCCTCGGCGTGGTCGAGGCCAAGTACTGTACGGTACATAGATGTTAACTGTGTCATTTTTTGCACCGTGTGTTACTATAAAGCACATCCCTGGCCGAAAAACTACATGTGTGTTATCTAAGATCTAGACCTTTTCCGAAGAAGAAAAAAAAAAAAAAAAAAAAAAGATATAAAAAACCTCAGCTACTAGCTACATATCTAGGGGTGGATGGTAACACCCTTCCTCCCAGCGGACCAACTTGCTACATGTAAGTACTAAGTACCATGTAGTTACGGTATGGGCACGGATTATATATATAAGGACATGATGGTAAAGCGAGTAGTACTTGAACCTAGATTAAACGCGACATACCCACCAATCACAATCACAAACTCTCACTCGCCGCCCACCCATCTATATGAACCGCACAACCGCACCCTGCTCGATTTTATCTCTAATCTACTTAGTACTGCTACTGCTACAAAAAAAAAAAGAGCTAAAAGGAATAAAAAGAATGGAATATGTAAAGTAGTTACATGTAAAAAATAGACACCCACTAGCTAGCTACGTAATACTAAGTACTTAAACTTCAATGAAGCCATCATGGTCGATCGAGAGCGACAATGCAGCAAGAAGAAGAAGAAAGGGAAAGAAAAAGGGGTAGGGGGTACTAAAAGGGGGTAGAAAAGGTAGAAAAGGTAAGAACAGGTAAAAAAAAAAAAGTAGAAAAAGTAGAAAAGCCAAGTAAAAAAAAAAAAAAAAAAAAAAGATACAAAACCCAATACTCCGACCCAGCCCAAACCAACCCTTTCATAAGCATAAGCACATAAAAACGAAACGAACCATGATACAGATACAGATACGAATACCATAACCACCCCCAGCTAATTCATAACGCACAAAAGAAACCCCCCTCCCCCCCCCCCCTGAACCGCCCACTACTCCCCCTTCCGCAGCGCCAAAATCATCTGCCCCATCTTCTCATCATACGCCCTCCTCTCCGCCTTCAACCTCACCCCAAGCTCCCTCACCTCCGCCACCAGCTCCTCCACCCTCCCCTTCCTCCGCTCCGCATCCCTCAAATGCTTCTTCGCCGCCCCCTTGTACCGCCGCCCGCGCTCATCCAGCTCTAAAATAACCCGCGCGCGCAACCGCAGCCCGCCAATAATCACACGCACTAGCTCGGGGTCCTGAACGCCCTCGGCAACAACGATCTGCTGCTCGTCGCAGCGGGGAAGATCAATATGCGCCGGCAGCGCGCACCGCTCGAGCTCTGTGACGATGATGTGCAGCGCGCGCCGACAAGCCTCGGGGTCCTCCTCACCGCTACCACCATCACCACCGCCACTGCCGCCACCGGTGGTGAACGTAAAGCGCCTCGTCTCCTTCTCCGCCGTGTCATGTAGCAACTGCGCAAACCGTCCCCTCGCCGCCTTCGTCTCCTCCACCGCAACCTCCAGCTCCCCCTTCAAGAACTCCTTCTCCGCCGCGATGCGCTGTGCCGTCTGCTCACCCAGCGTCACCCGCGCCTCCAGCTCCGCGATCGTGCCGGCGCAGGCAGCATGCGTCTCATTCAGCGCCCTGACGCGCTCCTGCAGCTCCCTGACCACCCGCCTCTCACTCTCCGCCTCGCGCCCCGCAACATGCGCCCTCGCCGCACCGTCCAGCTGCCTCCTCAGCACCTCCCCCTCCCTCTCCAGCACCCTCTGTCGCTCCTTCGCCTCCCTCACCACCGCCTCCTTCTCCCCCCTCACCGCCGCCGCCGCCTCCTCCCACGCCGCAATCCGCTTCCGCAACGCGATACTCTCCGTCTCGACAACGCCAACATGGCTCTTCTCCTCCGCCAGCTGTCTCCGCAGCGCCGCCATCTCCTCGTCGGCCGCCGCGCGCCGCCGCTCCCCCTCGGCGCCTTGGCTCTTGAGCATATCAGACAGCCGCTTCGTATCGTTGACCAGCACGCGCAGCGCCTCCTTCTCCTCCTCGAGCGCCGCTGCCCGCTCCTCGCTGTCGCCCACCCGCCCCTCCAGCGCCTCATTGTCCGCCTCGAGCGCGCGCAGCTGCTGCTCTGCCTCCGCGAGCTTCTCGCGCACCTGGTCGGCGGCGGCCTCGGCCTCCTTCGCGGCGGTGGCGCGCTGCTCCTCGCTGGCGCGCAGCTTCTCGGCCATGTCTGCTGTCGCGCGGCGGAGCATCTTCTCGTGCTGCTCGGCTGTGTCTTTAACCCTCGCCTCGCTCTCGGCCAGCAGGCGCTTCACGAGCGTATGTTCCGTCCTCAGCTGCCTGATCCCGAACGCCGCAAGCGTCGCCTTATCCAGCGGCTCATCCAGCCCCGCCTGCTCCGCAACCTTGCGCAGACTCATCTCGGCCTCCTCGACCGCGTCCTCAAAGTCCTCGCGCTCGCCCGAGCCGTGCAGCTCCGTGATGATCTGGTCGAGGCCGTCGTCGTAGTACTGCGAGATCTCGCGCGACTTCTCGTCGAGCCAGTCCTCAACCTCCTCCTCGTCAATGAGCCGCGAGCTGCCGTGGTCCACGGGCATCAGGTTCACCATCTCGTCCAGCTCAGCCTGCAGGTGCCGCACCAGCCCGTCCTTCTCCTCGAGCAGGTTGCTGAACTTTGCCGTGTCGGCGTCGTGCGCCTGCTGCTGCTCAATCAGCTTCTCTTGCAGATTCTCCGCGCTGCCCTCGCCGCTGAAGGCGCGGCGGCGCTCCAGCGCCTCCCGCAACTGCGTGACGGCGCGCTCCTTCTCCTCCAGCGCCTCCCTTGCATCGCGGAGCTGCCCCTCCGTCGCCGCCAGCCGGTCCTCAAGCCCCAAGCTCTTCTGGCGCACCCCCTTAATAACATCACCACGCTCACTAAGCTTGCTCACCACCTTGTTGATCTCACGGCCGTGGCTCTCCGCCTTCTGCTCCAGCGTCTTGACATGGCTCTCGAGCCCCAGCGCGCGCTGGCGATTCTGCAGCGCCAGCTTCTGCACATCATTATACTGCGTGCGCCAGTGCATGACGAGGTTATCCTTGCGCTCGTTCTCGGCGCGCAGCTCCGTCTCCTTGCGGGCGACAATCTCGAGGAGGGCCTCGAGCTCCATGACGCGGCGGCGCAGCGAGCCGACGTCCTCGGAGGTGGAGGCGTCGAAGGAGTCGTCTGCTAGTGGTGGTGGGAGGGGCGGGGCCCGCATGTCGAGGTTGCTGGAGCTGAGGTCGTGGAACGAGTCGTCGATCTTGATGTTGTTGCTCTCGAGCAGCTTGCGGAAGTGGTTGTTTTCAGCCTCGGCCTGTGCCATGCGCACCCAGAGGGTCTTGCTGGAGCCTTCGAGCTCGCTGATGAGGTCTTTGGACTCGTTGATGGACGCGGGCGTGTGTGCTCTGGCGTCGTCGTCGTCGTCTTGTGTGGCGGGCGCTTTGGAGGCTGCACCGCCGGCGGTGGTGGTGCTGCTGCTGTGGTGGAAGTCCTGCAGTGCAGACCAATGGCGGTTTCCACGGGCACCTTCACTCTCGCTCTCGCCCTCACTATCCACCCATCATCATCAGCACCCACTCACACTCACATCCACACCTACACCCCATATCAAAAGAGAAAGAAAAAACACATACCTATACTCCACACTCCTCCCCACCTCCTCCTCCTCCTCCGAGAAGCTCCTACGATCCTGCTCCTCCTTCGTCTCCCCCACACGCATCGGCACCACCAGCCCCTTACTCGCCATCCACGCCTTGATCTCCACAGGATCACTCTTACTCCTCCCCCTATCCCTCTCCCTATCCTCCCTCCCCTCTCTATCCTTCCCCTCCCTTCCAACCCCAACCGTCTCCTCAGACGCCACCGAACTCCCCATCACCTTCCCCCCACCAATCGGCGTAAACTCCTGCTGCTTATACCGCGCCGGAATGCTCGCAAACGAGAACCCACTGCCCAGGCTCGAAAAGTCCGGCGGGTTGTCCGTCTCGGGCTCAAAACTGGATGGCGGCTGTGTGTGCGTGGGAGAGGTGGGCGAGCTGGGCGTGGGCGAGGTGAGGAGGAGGTCGTTGAACGACTTTTTGCCAATGAGCGTGGTGGAGCGCGGGGGTGGCACTTTGTGGATTTCGGCGATTGATGGGCGGCTGCTGCTGCTGGGGATGTTGTTGTTGTTGGTAGTTGCAGCGGTGGTGGTAGTGGTGGTAGTGAGCGGAGGGGGCTTCGGCTTGACGTTAGCCTTGACCGGCGACTCAGTCGATGGCAGCTCAATGGGCGGATCTGAGAAGAACTGCGGCATCGTGGGATCAAACGGCGACATCTTCTTTCTTGATGGCTCGACTTCTTTCGTTGGTGATGATGCTGATGTTGTAGTGTGTGGTTGTTGTGGATGTGGTGGGAGTCGACTATCCGTGTCGTCGTCGTCGTCGCCGTCGTCGCCACCAGCCGTCGTCTCCTCCCCAAGCGAGTGATAAACCGTGTTCTGCACCTCTTTCTCTTTCCCCTTCCTGTTCCCGTCCCCGCTCCCATTCACCCCCCTGCCACCACGCCGCTTATCACCCGCACCGCCATAGCCCTCCACACCACCCATGGGTAACCGCTCCTCCTCCATCACCCCCACCTCCCCATCCCCCTCCCCATCATCATCACCATCATCAAAAAAGCTCCTCCGCCCCCCATCATCATCACCACTATCCTCATCCCCCCCCACAAACCCACTCTCCTCCCCCATCCCCGCCCCCACCACACCCCCCACCCTCCTCCAATGCCCCACCGGCTCCGCGTGCCCCTCATCCATGGACGAATTCAGCCAATTCAGATACCTCGGCGTCTTCCCCAGAAAGCTCTCTTCTGGCGACGAGTGCGGGTGCTCGGGAAGCTCCGGCTCTGTGTTGTGGTTAGTGCGGCGCTTCTGCGGTGATGCGCTCCGCCGGCGCGGGATGTGCGGGATGAGGGGGGAAGGTGCGAGGGCGGGGTTCTTGCGTGTGGGTTTGGGTTTGGGATTGGCGGGTGTGTGGGGGTCGGGGGCGCGTGCGGTGCGTGCGGTGGGGTGTGGGTATGGGATGGGGATGGGGATGGGAGGGCCTGTGGGTGCTGGTGGTGGGATTGGGGGTTCACCGGCGGGGTGGTGGAGGGGGGTTGTGGTTGTGGTTGTGGTTGTGGGCTTTGGTTTCAATCGGGGGTGTGCGTGGTCTATTCGCAAAAGTACGATGTTCTGGCGCTTTGTTCCGCGCGTTGCTATTATCACTTGTTGTAGACTGCGGCCTCTGTGGGTCAGAATCGGGAGCTTTATTCCGCCCATTACCATCCTGCGGCTTCTGTTCCGAAGCTGCATCCACGTCCCCTCCTCCCGGCGCAGTCCCAAGCGGCGTGCCAGATCTCGACGACCCAGGCGCCTTGTTTCCCGCATTTCCCCCATTCCCATTCCCGTTCCCGTTTGCACCCCCGGTCGTGGCGGCGGCTTCCTCTAAACTTGTCCTGGGAGCATCGCCACCAACCGGAGGTGGTGTAGATTGATTCCCGGGCCCCTTTCGCCGCCCATACATATCCCCGGCGATTGGATACTGCGGCTCGATTCCCGGGCCCTGCGACACCAAGCTGCGTCTGTTTGTGTTTGCGTTCGCATCTGACGGTGGCAGAGGCTGCGATTCCGCATCGTGGTTCTGAGCGTGGGTGTTTCCAGCGGGGATGATGGCTGTGCTTGTAACATCCTCAATCATAGTAGTAGCAGTAGCAGGAGCACTAGCTGGTGTAGTAGCAGTAGCAGTAGGTCGAACAATACTCTCATCTACAACCGCACCCGTACGCGACACCTCACCTGCAACCTTAGCCCCACTCCCCTCCGCCTCTTCCTCTTCTTTCGAGTCTTTCCTTCCCGGGCCAATGCCCCCAAGCGTCAATCTCGGCGGCGGCGATGCCCTCCTGCCATTGCCCGCGCGCGCGCCAAACGCCTCCTTCTCCCTCAACAGCAGCCTCCGTGGCGGCGGCGGCCCGCTATTTCCATTTCGGTTCTGACTGTGCAGCTCCTCCGGCGACGAGGGGAGCATGCGCTGGTACCCGTCCCACGGCCGGGAGCCGGTGGCGCGCAGGAATGTCTCGTCGCCCTCGTCGTCGCCGTCGGAGGAGGAGGAGTCGTGCGAAGTGGGGGCGTGGTTGATGAAGGAGGAGGTTGGGACGTGGGGCTCGGTGGTACGGTTGCGGCGTTTACGTGGTGGGGGGAGAACTACGGGGGTGGGTTAGCTGGAAGAGAGGGGGTTGGGGACAGGACGGGACAGGGACGTACGGGAGAGGTCGAAGGTGCTGTCGGTGGGGGAGGGGAGGGTGGCGTGGCCGTCGCTGGAGGGGGAGGCGTAGGCTTCGTCCATGGTGGGTGGTGGTGGGTAGGTGTGTGGTGTACTCTATACTGGGGGGGGGGGGGGGGGGTGTTGTGGTGACTTGGACAGTTGGAGTGAGTGTAGATGTTGTGTGTGTGTGTGTGTGTGTGTGTGTGTTGATATGAAAAGGAATGTGATGTGTGTAGGGGAGAGAGAGAGAAGAGAGAGAGAGAGAAGAGAGCTTGGCTGTGGATGGCTGGGTGGTTGGTTGGTTAGCTGGCTTGTTCAAACAAACAAGTGTCACGGAAAGAAGATGCAGGGTTAGGGGGGAGAAGTGAGGTGAGGTTCTTAGTACGAGTGTTAATGTGAGTATTAAGGTGTGTATCAATCCGTATATTTGTGTCAGTGGGGCTCTCCTCTCTCTTTTCTTCTCTCTCTTCTCTCTTCTCTTCTCTCTCTCTCCTCTCTTCACCTTCTATCTCTCCACTCTTCCTCTCTTCCTCTTCCCTCTTTCCCTTCCCTCTTCCCCTTCCCCCTTCCTCCCCCGTTTTCCTCTCTACCAATCGACGCGCCGTTGCTGCCAAGCACCCTGCATCACAACACACCCCATCCATCCTCGTCATATATTACTAATCCCCACTGCCAAAAGCTTGTTTTGGGGCTCTTCTTCCCTCGTCATGGATTCTCGCTCGGCTGGTCAGGGTCTGTGTAACGCCGGGACCGTTGAATGGTCTAATTTTGTAACGTGCGCTTGATTGGATCCTTTGGCTCAGTCTTTGCCTTGTGGCTGCGGCGTCTGCCTGGGTGGCGGATGGATGGGCTGCATTACATACATGTAGATCTAGAACGCCAGCTCTGAGAGTTGTAGAGGAATATATACATGTGCTAGTTTTGAGATTTAAACCATCACCACTATGATCTTCAATTCGAGCATCAAGAGCAATAGACCCAGACCCCCTGGTAGCGAGCCAACAGCCTGAGAATGCCTACCGATTGGTCCCCCAAATCTAAAGGGCCAGGGATCACGACCCCACGTGATCCCGCGCCAACGATCAATTAGCGGCTCATGAACTATCACCCGCCGCACTCCCACCAACCACCAACCGCATGCCAGTAGAGTATATACAAGGCTCTAGGATTAAGTGAACGGATCCTCACCAGTCAACACCCCATCTAGTTCACTCACTTAATGCCAGAGCACCGGATGCCAGTCATCCGTGTCTCACGCGAGAGGGTAATGGCCTGATGGACCCCACCGGGCTCGCGGCGGCCGGGAGAGCGAGGTGTTGTTTTAGGCCCCTTGCAGTGACTGAAGGCGACAGCAGCGCAGCACTGTTAGGCAGAGCTGAAAGAGAATCCACTGGCCATGGGAATATCAACTTCTTCTTCAGCATCTTTATCAGATCAGCATCTAGACCCCAATTGGCCAGTGTATTGGATATCCCTCAACCAGCAGTCTTGGCTGGTTGACCCTTGCTCAAGGAGGTGCCCCCTGAACAACAATCCATCCACACCCATCCATCCTATCCTGCTCTACATCTACAAATATCTTGCCGTCTCCCTCAAAACACTCACGACTGGACGACCCCTCAATTTAATTCATCAATGGCCTCTCCAATCCCCGTTTCCGCGACCATCGAAAAGACAGACTACACACGCTGGCGTCTCAGGTCTGAGGATGGCCGGCAGACATGGCACTACCTCACCACCGACAAAGAGCTAGCAGCCTGGCCGCAGTCCGTGGCCGACAAGTACCATCTCGGCCTCCCCACCGTACGTCCCTCCCCACCACACAATGTTAGGAATTGACCCCATACTAACCTGCTACATGCATTTCTAGGACCTCCCATCCCTCCCGCCAGCCCACTCCCCCTCGACGCCGCCCGCAACGGCCTCTCCTTCTTCTCCCACCTGCAAATGCCCGAAGGCCAATGGGCCTGCGAATACGGCGGCCCCATGTTCCTCATCCCCGCCGTCATCATCGCCACTACGTCACCAACACGCCCATCCCCGACCCCTGGAAAATCGAACTAAAAGCCTACCTCTCCGCGCGCGCCCACCCCGTCGACGGCGGCTGGGGCCTGCACATCGAAGGCGACACCTCCGTCTTCGGCACCGCCTGCAACTACACCGTCCTCCGCATCCTCGGCATGGACCCCACCCACCCGGTCGCCACAAAGGCCCGCAACACACTGCACAGGCTCGGCGGCGCCCTCGGCTCCCCGCACTGGGGCAAGTTCATGCTCGCGCTCCTCGGCTGCTACGCATGGGAAGGCATGAACCCGATCCCGCCGGAGCTCTGGCTCCTCCCAACCTGGATCCCCTTCCACCCCTGGCGCTGGTGGTGCCACAACCGCCTCGTCTACCTCGCAATGAGCTACATGTACTCGCTGAAGCGCTCGCACCCCGAGAACGAGCTGACGCGCTCGCTGCGCGAGGAGCTCTACACGCAGCCGTATGCGTCAATCGACTTTGCGCAGCACCGCAACACCGTCGCCCCGGGCGACATCTACCACCCGCACACCAAGCTCCTCGACGCGCTCAACGGCGCGCTCGGCGTCTGGGGCTCCTACCTGTGTCCGGGCGTCGTGCAGAAGGTGGCAAGAGACCATGTCTACGAGCTCATCAAGCGCGAGGACGAGGCGTCCGAGTACTGCTGCCTCGGCCCCGTCAACAGCCCGTTCAACCTCATTGCGCGCTACTTCGCCGAAGGCGAGGACTCGGACGCGGTGCGCGCGCACCGCGAGACGCTGAAAGACTTCCTGTGGGTCAAGAACGAGGGGATGCTGGTCAACGGCACGGACGGCGTGCAGTGCTGGGACACGTCGTTCCTCATCCAGGCCATCTACGAGAGCAATCTCGCCGAGGCGCCCGAGTACCGCGCCATGCTCATCAAGGCGCTGCAGTTTCTCGAAACCCAGCAGATCCGCGCGGACGTGGCGGAGGCCGACAAGGCGTACCGCCACCAGCGCAAGGGCGCATGGCCGTTCTCGAAGCGCACGCAGGGCTACACGGTCTCCGACACGACGGCGGAGGCGCTCAAGAGCGTGCTCATGCTGCAGTCTGTGCCGGGGATGCCGCAGCTCATCGGCGTGGAGCGCCTCCAGGACGCCGTCGACGTGCTGCTGACGATGCAGAACCCCAACGGCGGCTTCGGCACGTACGAGCTCGCGCGAGGCGGCAAGTGGCTCGAGGCGCTCAACGCCGCCGAGGTCTTTGGCGGCATCATGATCGAGTACGAGTACCCCGAGTGCACGACGGCCGTGGTCATGGGGCTGTCGTACTTCCGCAAGACATACCCGCGCTACCGCGCGGCCAAGATCGACAACGTGATCCGGCGCGCCGTGGCGTGGATCAAGAGCGCGCAGCGCGACGACGGCAGCTGGTACGGCAGCTGGGGCATCTGCTTTACGTATGCGATCATGTTTGCCGTGGAGGCTCTGAGGAGCGTCGGCGAGATCTGCCAGAACTCGGCGGTGGTGCGACGGGCGTGTGAGTTCCTCGTGAGCAAGCAGCGCGAGGATGGAGGGTGGGGGGAGAGTTATAGGAGTAGTGAGACGGGCGTGTATACGCAGCACCGCGACAGCCAGGTTGTGAATACGGCGTGGGCGGTGATTGCGTTGATGCATGCCGAGTGGCCGGACGTGGGGCCGATCGAGAGGGGGATTAGGCTGCTTATGGCGCGGCAGAGGGGGAATGGGGAGTGGGCGCAGGAGGCGATTGAGGGCGTGTTTAATAAGAGTTGGTGAGTTTTTTTGTCTTCCTTTCTGCTGCTCCTTTTTTTTTTTTTTTTTTTTTTTTGAAGGGGAGAAAGGCTAATGAATGGGTGTGGTGCAGTATGATCTCGTATCCGAACTACAAGTTTACGTTTACGATCAAGGCGCTGGGAATGTATGCGAGGCTGTACAGGAACCCGCAGCTGAGGCCTGAAGCGTAGGCCTGCGCGCGGGCGCGGACGCAAAAGTAGGCGGAAGGTTATGCGCAATTGATACGTACTTACTAATGAGGCGGGGGGAAAGAAAAAAAAAGGGGGGCATGAATCATGAGAGTTTGAACGTTCGGTGGTCTAAAGGGGGTTATACCAATGTAGTGTTTGTTTGTTTAACGCTAGCTGTAATTATGAATTTAATATCTTTAGGAGAGACGCTTTTTCGCGGCCGTGCCAGCAGTGTCCATGTGAAAAGCACCATGTCTAAAAGTAAAGTTGTGAACGGCCGGGTTCGGGTTCGAAGTGAAGATTAGGTCACGAACCATCACTCGATCGTGCTTTGTGTCTATTAAGGAGAGGAGAGAGAAACGAGAGTGATCTCGTGTGAAGGAAGGGGCTGGGGCTGAGCTACAGCGAGTGATATCCTATGATTCATGGCTCCACCTAGTGCAGTACAATACGCACACCCATTAATTAATGCAACATACTCTACCTACTGAAGAAAGAAAAACTTTGGGGTGAGATGTGCCGGTGGGGATGGGGCTCATTAAGCAAGAAATTTGGCGACTCTGGTTGATGCCCGGTACCATGAATCACACCCGTAATGAGTACAGTCAGTCAGTCAGTCACTTGGCGGTCCCATCACTCATCACTAAATGTGCATCCCCCAACTCCGTGTGGTATGATTTACCCCAGTACCAACATTCCGGCCCCCCCCCAATATTAGTACTAATGTCGCCGACGGGTAATTTCGCGCTGGCTTACTCTACTTGCGACGTCGACCATGGGGTATCACTCGCGCGCCGGAAATCCGGATCCCTGCCGGGTTGTACTGAGCGAGTCGGGAAAAAAAAAGCAATTATTGACATGTGTGTTTTAAAAGGAACGGCTGAACGTCGTAGCTAGCTGCCGGGAGGAAGGAATATAAATTGGGCTGTGGCCCCCCAGAGTAGGTAGGTGGGCATCGATAGCTTTATTCAAACAAGTACTATCTGAACAACGCACTCTAAAATTGATATCAATCCACCCCACTAATCAATCCACAACCACAATGGTACCCCCCCCCAAACCCTCTCCCTCTCTCCACTAACCCCCCCCCCCTCCCCCCTAGGACCCCACCACCCCCCAGAACCCCTTCCACATGCGCCTCCTCTACACCCTCGCCCTCCTTGTCCAGCTCAGCGACGTCTACAACTTCATGACGCTCTCGCGGCTCTTCTGGCCGCGGCGGTCCGATCTCACCGGTCCCACGAGCACGTTCTTCCTGCGCACGTACTGCACACTGCTGCTGCCGTACATCCTGCTGTGCTTCTGGCTGCGGCACTACCACATCCGCGAGACGGACGTGGGGCAGGCGCTCGGCGCGTCGTTTGCCCTGTTCCATGCGCTCGCGCCGGCGTGGTATGTGTGGAGCTGGTGGAGCGGCGGGTATGTGCAGAGGCCGCTGGGGTGATTGTGGCGTTCCATGTGGGGTGTGTGGTGTGGGCGGGGGTGGGGTGGGTTTCGTAAATGATAGCGGGCCGGGTGAGGGATGGGGGGATGGGCGGTGGGAGGGGGGAATGGGTTAAGCCAGAGGTGTTGGATGTAGGTATATAGCTTTGAATTGTGTAAAGAGATGTGGTAAAATATTAGGTTGCTAAATAAACAAAAAATAAATATCTACAAAGTTACAATTCATTAAGCCAAAGGGCCCTGCCCGATGTCTGTCTGTCACATTCCACAGCCAATATTAACTGGCGTTCCCAATTATTACCCACGCACCCAAAACAGCCATCCCTCCTTCCTCCTTCCCCCCTTCCTCCTCACTACCCCGAAAACACCATAATCGCCGAATCCCTCACCGCGCCCCTATCAAACACATACCTCCCCTGACTCCTCTCCACGCCCCCCACGACCCTCCTACACGCCTCCACCACCCACCCGACCGTCCTGCCCAAGGCCCCGCACTCAAAATCGTACTTCTCCCTCTCCGAGCACACCCTCGCCCCCGCCGCGCCATACTTGGCCACGGGCGTACAGAGCCTTTGTCGGCTCTGCAGACACGGCGCGGCGCCGAAGCGCACGATCCAGCTGGCGAGGCCGAGGCCGTCGCTGTAGGTGGGGGACGTGGCGATGGTCTCGCAGATGATGGAGCCGGCGGGGACGGCGACGAGGGGGTGTGCGGTTGTGAGGAGGGGGAGGGGGAGGAGGAGGGGGAGGAGGCGGCCGGGGCGCATGCGGTTGGGGACGGGGGTGGAGAGGCCGAGGGGGAGGGAGACATTGGGTGTCTGGGATTTTGGATAATGATATATCGATACTTGTAACTCGGGGTTATATCTATCTCTATCCCTCACTCGTGAGGCCACTATTACTATCATACATTGCATATCTATCATGATATATATACCCTCCCTCCCTCCCTCCTCCCTCCCCTCCCCCCCAAACAAACAATCCCCCTCCCCTCCCCCATCATTGTACTGCCAGCATCAATTATACCCCTCACAATTAAACACCCTCCCCCCATTCCCTCCGGCAGCACATCCCCCATCTCGCCGCCGGCGCGGCCCCTCTCCAACAAACACCCGCCCATCGACCACGACCGCTCCACGCGTCATAGAGTGCAATGGCGTGGGCGCTGTATATACCACCCCCTCGTCCGTTCCCAGCACCCGCGGCTTTATAATTTATGTGGCAGAACATCTATTGGGGAAGTAATCTAGCTAGCTACATGCGCAGTCAACACACTAAATACCATGTATCTATCGTATGTCCCGCTATCCATCTAGGACCAACCTCACGCCCACGAAAGCTAGGGCGCCGTTGACCGATCACCCTCTAGCAAACAGTCCCGTAGGGGCAGGGCCTGAAAAATCACCCACCAGACGAAGGGATAGTGCAAACCTCTCTTCTATCACAAGCCATCACTCGCATGGCAGGGTTAGGGTTTGTACGGAATGGTGGAACTACGTCATTGCTTGATTGATTGGGGGCTCATCAATTGATTGGATTATATATTGGGACCCGCCCTGGGGGAGGGGGGAGTGAATGGTGGTTTTATATTACTACGTGTGAGTGTGTATGTGTGTGTGTACATGGGGCATCACTCGGCTTTTTATCGGGGGTCGTGTCAACGACGGACGCAGGCTGCCGTCCGTCCGTCGAACCAGCAGGTCACACTCGTCAATGGGTAGGTTGCGGGAAGACGAGAAAAAAAACAGTAACTGTTTTTTCTTTCTTTCTGCCTGCTTGTGATTATGTGAAGTTTGGTGGGGGAGGGGATTAGATTGGCGACGGTAGGAAAGCTGTGGGATCCCGATTCGAGACCTATCATACTAGTTAGGGTCCCGAGGACAATGGAGGCCTAGGGCAAGATTGCTAATAATTAAAAGTAGGAGTCGGTTTAGATTGTAGCAGACAAAGTTTTTTTTTCATGAACTATTAGGTACATATTACAACAACGCAGGGCTGGGCTGGGGGGTATGCGGGATTAACAAACAGAATCTATTCAATCATTTTTTTTGGTTTCATAAACAAATAACTTCGTTACCAGGCAGACAAGGCATATTACAATGTTAACAAAAAAAAAAAAAAATCAGAAAGAGAAACGTAAAGTAAGAAGAAAGAAAAAAACTCCATCCAATGACATCATCATGCATACTTCATCTTTCGTTCCCTCATTTATTAAAGACGCAAAGAAACTACTGGAGCATATAACTCAGATCCGGTAAGCCGTCCACTACCCCATAAACAAGTCTATTCTCCTCCGCCTCCTTTGCGTTCTCACGCCGACCAGTGACCGAAGGCGGCGGAGCATCCCACAGGTCGGTACTGCTAGTGGTGGTGGTGGTGGTAGCCTGGTTGGAAAAAGGCGCCGGAGCTGACACGTTGACCGGAGTGGCAGCAGTGGTAGAAACCGAACCATCGAAGAATGATAGGTCCCACGTGTCGTTCCCACCGTTGCCGTTGCTTGCAGTGTTGTTACTACTTGTCTTTTGTGGGGCAGGTGGTTTCTCAAAGCTGCTAAAATCAAACATGGATGCGGTTGATTGTGTACTAGGTACCATGGATGCCTTCGGTTGTGGCTGCGCGTTTTGAAATGGAGCCGGGGAAATCGTTCTAGAGCTGGGGTTGAGGGGGCTAGGCAGAGCATTCGAGAAGGGGTTGCTACCCTTCGGTACAACGGGGGACTGAACCATCTCGCCCCAATCGTCATCGTCATCATCATCATTAATAGCTAGCTTAGATATTGCTGGAATAACGTGACTGGTGGTGGTAATCCTGCCGCTGCCACTCGATCTTGGCTCTAGACGTGGTAGACTGTTTGTTGCTTTTGGCTTTGACACCTCAGATGTCTTTGATACTTCAAATGCATCGAAGGAGCCCCAAGGATCGACTTTCAAGGCTTTCGGTTGGGTCTTTCCGACTGAGCTGGTTCTATTATGTATAGCATACGTAGGCGGATTTCCTAATACTTGGCTGTGTATTTTTGGCTTGGGCGTCAATGTAGACTCGAATGCATCAAATCCCCAGTTATCGGTACCAGTGGTTTTCGGACCAGAGACTTCCGTAGTTTTACGACTCGGTTCATCGGAGAGATGGGCGGACCCTAGGGGGGGTGCAGAAGACTTAGTTGACATGGAGCTTTCGAAAGCGTCAAACGATCCCCAATCATCTGTATTCTGTGAACTCAAACCAGAAGCCCCAAGGGGTTTGGATTGCGATCCGCCAGGGGGTTTGGGGGAAGGTTGCGCAAATGTTTGGCCCGGCGACGACTTGGATATCGATGAACCGGCAAAGGCAGGCGAAGAGCTCCAACCATCTATTTCTTGCCCTTCTAACATGGACAGCTTCTTTAACTCTGGAGTGGCAGAGAGCTTTCCCGATAATCCACCAGGAATAGTATCTTTAGTCATTTGTAATGGTTCTGCAGGCATGCCCCATCCATTGTCTTCGCCCAAGCCTATCGCTAGTTTGGTCGCCTCGGAGGTGCTGACAGGCTGTAGCAGGGAGGAAATTCGGCCTTGCCTTGCAACCGAACTGGAAGGTTTGGATTCGGCAGCCTTGTTCGGATCCTCAAAAGCACCCCACTCATCAAAGTTGCAATTGGCCTCAATATTAGACGGTAGCTTAACTGTGGTCGCAATATTTTCAAAGGCGCCCCATTCATCGAAGCTGGTGCTAGGGACTGGAACCGAGATTGACTTTGGTTGTTCCCCTGACATCGAAACCCCTGGATTTGATGAGAAGAGGCTATCCATCGATGCTGGGATAATAGGGGTGGTTGCAGTTGCCTCTGCAGTTCTTTGGGTACTTTGAGGTGATGGGCTCGACGGTCGTGTCGTCGCCAAGCTATGCGAGGGCTTGCTTGAGTGGTTACTTGCAACGGGCGAATGAGAGACCACAGATCTACTGGGAGTTACCGGTTGGGACGACATCCTCGAAGGGGTACTATGAAGGCTTGCCCTATAAGGTGTCGAGGGTAACTTTTCATCCCCTTTGGCCGAGTTAGAGCTTGAATTAGGATGAGATTCAATAATTGGTTGTGAATTATCGAAGTTATTCCACCCAAAACTCGCTACAAGGGGAGAAGATGGGGCTGTTTGACTTTCGGCGGGAGAAGTCTTTGTAGTTGATATATCAAACGGAGGTTTCGTAAGCCCTTGGCCTGTGGTTTTACCAACAACAAGACTACTATGGCGAGAGTGAGTGTTTACCGTGTTCCATTGAACAGGTAACGTCTTCTTTTCGACCGGTTCGACACCCTCTCCCCAGCCAAACATCGCCCCCAATCTCTGGGAGCCTCCTAAAGCCACGCCTCCCCCGGAGCTTTTATCTTCTGCCATCCATCTCGATACGATCTTATTGACGTCTTCCTGGATCTTGGAACCTACCCAGGTGACTCTGACATAGTCATCATCCCCGCTCTTGTCTTTCCTTATGGTTCCGCTCTGAGACAAACGATACCAAGCCTTTCGCCTATATGATTGCAGGGAATTAAAATTATGGCAACTTTGTGTGGGGGAGTGCGATACTTACGAATTTGTGGCGTATATAATTTCTTTGATCGGAGGCGGTTCTGGGTAGCTTGTAAAAATAGGATACAGTTTGCTGAGGAGAGAAGTGTCGATATTGAATGGAGTATCAACTTTAAAATGTGGCGTTTGAGGTAGAGGGGGGGACTCCTCGGGAATATCCTTTGTTAGGCTTTCTTCGGCGTCCTCAAAGTCGCCTTCGTTGGCAAAGTCCCCAAAATCATCATCATCTTCTTCCTCCTCGCATTTTGTTTCCTCCTGACCAATGTTTGACCCTCCTTCGGGCTCTTTCTCAATTTCAGGTGTTGGCTCTGTAAGAGATATCGTCTCGGAAGTCAATGGGGCCTCGATTGGTGCGATGTCTGGTGCAATTGTTTCTTCTTTCCCCCTTGTTTCAATCTCAATTTCAACTTGCTTGTTGTCCGGAGCCTCGATATTATCTTCCTGCTTGTCCACGTAAACAGAGCCCTCTCCATTAACGTCTCCTATCAATTCATCTGAGCTGGGAAGGGGTTTGATCTCTGGAACGACTCCTGGCGCTGATTCCCTACTCGTGTTGGTTTCGTTTACTTCCTCGTGCTTTATATCTCCCCAATCAGAGCCAGCAGCCCACGCGTCTGCTTCATCCGTAGCCCCAAACCAGTCTCCGTTCTTCTTTGCTTCTGGTTGCTGAACAGCATCTCCAGAGGTACTCGGTAACCCTACCTTTTCTTCCGTAGCCCCCTTCACAACAAACTCCGGAACCCCCACTGATGCCGGCTCAACCCACTCCGGGAGCCCGGAGCCCCTTATCACCCCCGAGACCGCACCGGAACCAACAGCAGGGGATGAAGTTGCCCATGCCGAAGCGTCTCCGAACTCGGGCTCCTCTGTACTCCATGGGTCGTCATGCACCACTACATTACTGTTCGGAATCCGGGGTTGCGGGATGTCCGTTCCAGCACTTCCAGCACTCCTTGCGTCCTTTGCATCTTTGGCATCGAGAATTGTGATGACCTCCGTTGGGTCTCGATCGTCTGCATCTGCCCACGGAGAAGCCCAGTCGTCTTCCATGGCGGTGGACAGGGCGATGGCGGGTAGAGCATTATTTTTTTCGGGAGTTTATTGGAGAGCTCTGTGCTGTTGGCGCGGTGACATCGTGTTTCTTTTTTGGTTTACCGTGGGGACGCTGGCTATTGGCTCGTGCAATGTGGAGTAGGAATAGGCTCCGGGAGGCCGGGTCAAGGATCATTGCGCTAACGGGCGAGGGCTTGGCTGTATGAGGTTAACCATCCAAGACCCAAGACGTCTCTTCGTGCGGCTCATGCTCACGAGAATGTGGGGGTAGCCCTTTTGGGGCAGTCTGTGGACAGCGAATCGAATCGATCTGGGCGCAACATCAAACTCCCACATCGGAGATCAAACATCACAAAAGCAAGGTTGAACCCTTTTGTATATCGATATATCCTTTCACGTTTCAATTCCGGCAGAATAAACAACACACGTCCAAGATTGTGAACACACAGATAACGGGGTGAATCGGCCCCAATTGCTGACAATTTACAGCAGCAAGTTTGGAGTGAGAAATGTATGTGCCTACATACAATACACATCTGTAGCTGTAGGTAAGGCTCTGAAAGCGGACATATCATAAAACCGTTTAAGATCTTTGAACAAGTCATCTGACAGTAGTAGGCTTTTGATAATACCATTTCTCCCAACAAGGTAGTAAGGCTCTTTCTACACGTTGCAAGTAATCCAGATATTACTCTTGCGCACAATTGCTCCACCTGGACATCGCAAGTGTCAACGGCTTCACCAATCATCACCAAAATTTTAGAATGCTAGTCGGCGCTCGCCTGCGCTATGTGTCCACTGCCACGCCTCAATGAGGGATGCTGTACCGTGAGTACATAGCAATCATATGTAGGGCTGTCTAGCTCCAAGCACTGTGACTTGACTTGAGATACGTTGTCGACATAAAGTGCCAAAATACCTACTCGAGCATGTACCCATACGTACTCTAGAGTATGTACAGTACCTCCCCTTTCCGTTTGGGTTCTTGGTCTAGCAGAGTAAACCCGGATATCGTTGTTGGAGATACTTTAAGGGTACTCGCGGGGACTGGGTAGGTACATATTCAGTAGCATACCTAACCTCGTCAGTACCGGTTGAGTGAGACTCATTCCACTCCCGGTGGTCTGCCACGTATTCAGTCCCAACGGAACCCAACCGCCTCTCGAAACACGAGTAGCTAAGCTTCAATCCCATAGGCAGCGGTTGTTTCATGTACGAGATATATGTATGATCGATGTCCAAGCACGCGCAGAACCAGGACTGCGGTGCACAAAAGTAAAGAGACTCAATGTCCGTGCAGACGACAGGCCGATATGTTTAGCACTAGTAGAGCCCAGTCATTGAATGTATGGACGACATGTATGTACCTACGGTAACGTCCCCAGCGATGGGAAACGCCTTGCGAGATGTACTTTACCGTAGATGCGGGAGCGTCAGTTGGTGCGTGCATTTGCAGCACGTACGTGAGAAAGGATTCACTGCCTATGTAGGTACTTAGGGTATGCCAACTACATGCGTACCTACAGCACCAAATGAACTACTCTAAATACCCAAGGAGCTTCACATGTCACCTAGCTCCTCTCTCTCCTGAAAGTCATATCATCCGTCGAGATATATGCAAAGGAACACATAGCCTATCGGTTGGAATACGTAAAGGAATCAATTGCATGATCTAGTAAGTATCCAGTAACCGGGATGTAAGTTCATATCCAAAACCTCATGGGAGGTTGCAGAATGCGTCCTGGAATATGGGAATGGGGAAGAGGTAGGTAGTTTGGTCCTCCCATAGAAAAAACAACTTCTAGCGGCAAAGACAAAAAATAAAACATAACAGGTCTGAAAAGCAAGGGAGTAAACGATCTTTAACCAAAAAATGGGAGGAGCAAAAATACTCTAAAGATCACTTGCTATTCTTACCTGGAGCCAATCCTGTTAAAAACCCTGACGGCGTGTTCCCCGCCCCGCGATATTTCAATACCGTGTTGTTTCTTCCCCCTCACTTGGTCGGACATAAACCCCTCAGACTCGATACATGATTGGATATCGAGCGAACTCTAAGTCGGAAAGCCGCTTTACAACAGGCGCCTACCTAGGAAAGAGCGCGAGGAAAATGATCTCATCGAGGGCGGGGCGCTTGAGTTACTGTTTCCTAGGAACCCCAAAGATATATTTCCATAAATTTTGGAGATGTTCCACACAAATGCCGATTCGAGTTGACGGCTCGCTAGTGATACTGCATGAGGATAAAAGTAAACAGACACGAGATCCAATTTCCACTCGATAAACAGCCATTTGAGGCTCGATTAATTGTGATGTTTTTGGATCAACCTGCAGGAAGGACTTATGAGGGAAAATTAGGGGACCCTTTTTCTTCTTCAAACCGTAATTTCGAGTGCGTCGCGGCTGAGTTCTGAAGAGTCCGCGTACCTTTCCTCCCCTTGCTTATATGGGACATATCGTACTTTATCTCCCTTATGCTGCATGGCCCATGCAACGATGAGTTGGCAATCAGGTTGGTACATGCGTGAGGTTTGCGTGCGCGCCAAACTATTCCGGGAAAGATGCCACACCCTCAGTACCGACACCTGAATTTCGATAGGACCGACGAGACAGAGCAGAAAAAGAAGCTGCTTCGAGAAGCGGGAGTGACAGATGAGATATGAAGATTTAGTATTATTTTGTTTGTTCTTGCCGACGAGGATAGCTCGGTTCTCGGAAGGGAATCACTAAAGATTTAATACAGAAGGCAAGAGGTTCGGTAGAGTAGCGGGATCTGCTTGATGACGGCAGTCCATCTATCACTTGCTGAGCGGCAGTACGTGAGAACGAATCCCAAAACACAACCGCAGCTGAGGGGCAGAGACATGGCGATGATTTCCAGTGGGATTTGCGACACAGCTGCCTTAGTATGGTGCGTTTATGCCGAGGAGATCCCCCTAGTGGCATCTTGTAGAGATGCTCTCAGGCTGAGGGGCGACCTTCGATCCCATCACTCAAGTGATGAAACAATCGCTCAGTTGATGAGCCTGTTTCTTCTTGGTTCCCTTTGACAAAGTAACTGTTGAACGCCCTATCCTATGTAGAGTAGATCATGGTACTTCGACGCATGGCCTGCACGCTACACACACCTTAGGTTCCTGACTATCAGGGCAGAGAGAGGGAGAGAGAAAAAACCAAATACTGGTGAATGACGAGGGAGTGTCGCCAAACACTCAAACGCCCAAACACTCATGATACACTGTAACACCTCCCATCAGGTGCCGTTTCGGAGGGTTACGGCAAGCGATTCGCCATCGGAACCAGTCGGACTTCCGGCCACCTGGAATGATTGTGACATCCAAAGAAGCAGAAGTCCTGAAGCCTGAAGGAGATGACTCGGCTTTCCTTGATCTCGTTCCGCCACATCCAGAAAAAGTGCAGGCAAAAACACACACACAGGAAAGTGTGAATTGTTATTGGGTGAAAGGCCTGTCACTCGTCCTGCTGTCACATTTTCAGAGGCGAGGATCAACCAATCTCCGCTTGTCTTTCCCCACCATCAGCAGCATCCCTGTCCCGACATGCACGAAATAATGCTGGTCGAGGAAGGGGGTGAAAGAGGGGTGAGCAGAGCGGCGAACGGTCAGATACAAGGCTTGACAGCGTGTCTATGGTAGAATCCCGAAGTATCAAGTTGCCTGTTCCTGTACCTCAGTGAGGAGCTAGCTTGTAGCAGCGTCATTGTGAGTGTCTTGTTCAAGCAATAATATGATCGCTTTGGGAAATACCTATATACAACGGCGATTCGATTCGTGAGTAAGGCGAAGGAAGAGGAGTTGTTAACCATGGTGTTGTAACTATTGATATCTGCACCAACCTCTCCTCTCCTCCAATCCCACACATCTTCAACTCCACAGCCAGCACAGCGACCAACAGTAAAGGCGCGACGACCACAGGACTAGCTTCATTTTCATTATTATTACTCCAGCGATCTTCTAGCGATCGAACAGGAAAAATCCAGAAAGACGAGGTAGCCAGCACAGGGACGAAAGAAGAATAGATCAAGGCTCAGCAGCAGCAGGAACGATACATATTCGATTAGCAGCTACATACATACAGTGAAAGAGCAGCGCAAAAACTGCGCCCTCAGTGCTGAGACTCTATTCGTCCCAGAGAGTTTACCGAACGAAGCGCACATTACTATTTGCTAGGGTTTCCCTGGGAGATATTTCGCCATCGTCATTACCTATTATTTTTATCGCCTCCGTTTTCTTGAGTCGCTGAAATACTGGAGACTCGCTTTTTTTCGAGTAAACCGTCGTTGACATCTCTACTCACCCCGCCATACATACACATACACACATCCGCGCACGCACGCACGCATTTGCACGCATACACATTTTTCGTTTTTGCCATACAATAATTTCAACTTCCCCCCACCCTTCAATTTTTATAGCAGCACTGGAACCCATAGCTCATGGACCCATGAAGGATTCAGAGTCTTTTTCTCCTTTACCCTCCGGTTTGTGAACCCTCTTCCAAATAATTCGAGTTCTAGCATTGTGTGATTTTATTTTATTTTATTTTTGTTATGGTTTTCGTGATTTTATTTCGGTGATTCCAATGTTTTTTATTCTCGATATTTGAGTACTTCTACTTCTAGTGTTGTTATTTTCGGTATTTTTATATTTTTCGCCGCGCGGCTCTGTTGCTCTGTACCTGGCCCTCACCTTCTTATGTTGCTGGTGCTGTGTCTCTGCTCCTGTTTTGCATACTGTCTGTCTTATTCTTGATGTGATGCTCCTGCTGCGTGCGTTGCCAGCGTGGCAGCAGAGCACAGGCATAGCATGGCATGGCATGGCATACGGTACCAGCAGCAGCACGGTGCACCCCACATACAACGTCTGCTTCTTGCTCATCATGTCAATAGCTAACACCACTTGTTCTACTTTGTAGCCCCCCCTCAACCTTCATCTCGAAGTTCATCCCCAGTCCCTCAAGCCGCTGTTGCTGCTACCACCACTACTACTATCCCAAGCATATCGGCCCCGGTACCTCCATCCCCATCTACAACCCCTCCACCGCAAAATATGACAATAGCCCAAGGGCGACAGCCGTTTGAGCAGTCGTCCCTGAAGCTTCGTCCTGGTGTACACAACCAAAGCGCATCTGCTCCGTCTGGTCAACTCCCAATACTCGCATCAGGCGATTCATATATTTCACACGTTCCTACATCATGTGTCAGTACTTCAGCATCACTTGCCGAATTAGCGCACCTAGTCAAGCTACAAGCGTACCAAGAACACAAATATCTACAAAGCCGAGTTCGCCTTCACAAATCTTTGATATCAAGCGCAGTTTCTGCGCGGTTGACTAGATCTGGAGAACTTTGCCACAAGGCTTTGGTGGATTACTTCAAATCCGACCAGAAATCCGACTTCGCCACTTTGTACAATGCCCTTCACGATGTTAGAAACTCTTGTGAGGCGACACGCCGATTTGCTATGTTAGAGCCGGAATTGGATTCCTCGAGAGGCCTGTATTCCTCCGATGATCGCGAAGCGCCTAGAGGATTGTCTTCGTTTCTTCATGAAATCCCCGCCCAAGCCAGAGATACAATTCTCTCGTTCATTTCCATGATCAGATCTGACCCATCGTTCCTAGCCAGCCGCATTGGCCGCCTGTCAAATACTGAACTTGAAGCGTTAGTGAAATACCACAATCAATCAAATCTCCCAGAATCAATCCTCCCACAACAAACGTCCAGACGTGGTGGATCCGCCCCCAGAAATCCTCCTCCCATGCCCAAATCGTCTGAAATTAGCCCTGTCGAAAAGTTACTCTCTTTTCACCGCAATGATCCTCTATACACCCTTGTGCACACTGTATTCGCAAACTCTTCCGGTCCAGATTCGGCAGAAGACAAGCGCAGAACTGATGTCTGGTCCACCACTTGCGCCAGAATGATTTGTGAGAATAAGGGAGAGCCTTTCCTATTGGTCGTCATGGACTCGTGGGCTGCGATGCGAGAATGGCCCGCTAAGCAGAACCTTGAACTTACCGTGATGGGTCTTTTGCAGGAGGGTGCATTTTTGGTTGAGCGAGGTGATGAGACGAACGCAGGAAATTCAGCATCAGAGCTTCGAGGGAAGCACGACCTTTTGGCAGAGGAATTTTATATCAAAGCGGAAAAGAAGCTTTTTGAGGTTCTGGATGATGAGCCTGGCGCTGGTGGTATACCGGAGGGTATTTTGGAGCTAGGGCATGCAATTCTCGAGAAGATCGATGACCCGAAGAAGAAGCGTCACGCAGAGATCATGATTATTGTCAAATGGTTTTTCAACCGGTTCTTGATGAATGGGGTTTCATATCCTGAGGTGAGAATTTATTTTTGTTTTCTCCGCAACCCACCCGCTAATTGGTCTAAAAGTATCACGGAATTATGACTGGACACCATATCAGCGAGCACGCCAGGCTAAAGATCTTGCGCCCAGTTCTCAAGAAGATGTACGCACATGCAGTTAGCGTAATCTTGGGTGAATGGTTTGTTTCTCGTCTCCGAGTTCTGGTGCATTCTTCTTTTCTAACAAGTCTATAGGAAAACAAGCTCACCTGTGGAGCCAGTAATACGAGGACACATCGAGGGTATACAACGGAGGTTTCATTGTCCGCGACCAGCAGACTCCACTCCAGTACTCCTCCCATCAAGAGCTGTGACTTCACCTCGAGAGACAACCGAGGTCCAGCCTTTTATTGTGTTGTGTCCGGCCGACATTGTCACCATGTACCAAGCCCTGTATCCCCAAGGATCATGCCAAGTTGTTGAGGGTAGAGATATTCGAGGAGGTCCAATGAGTAGCCGGTCATCATCTCGTCCGCTCTTTGGCAGATCACCCAATGCTGGCTTTGAGATCGGTTCAGGATCTGTGCTCAGCAGCAGCTCCTCGGTAACAAGCGAATCAGCCTCTATCACCTCACCACTTCTTGATCAATCAAGTGTGCCAGATGATAGACGTTCCTTCATGTCCATGCCATCGCCTGGATCGTTCAACATGAACGCTCAGTCAATACATTCCAATTCCGATCAGACTTCTCCGGAGAAGTTTGGGATGGAGGTAAGATCGGCTGTAGAAGCAATGATGGGTCGTCTGGGACCTGATACTGTATCCGGCCGATGCCACCCCTGCGCAGAGAAGTGGGCGGTTGTCTTCGTCTCTCCCGATGGTCAGGAACTAAGCATTAAGCAACTCAAGCACAAGAATGAGGATGACGATGAAGATGATGACTGTGGCCATGATAGTGACAGCGAAGACGAAGGGCCGGTAGAAATTTCAAATATGGACAGGGTGTATCACCAACTAAAGGATGCTGTCATGAAATTGGTAGGGGAATACGAGATTCCGGAAGAGCCACTCATCGAGAAGTCAAGAAAGAAATTCAGCAACAGACCTTCAGCCGCGAAAGCTAACAGTGCTCCCAACGTCCCTACCATCAACCCCCCAGAGTCTACACTTGACCCAAGCAACCCTTTCCACCCACAGAGCAACTTGACTGCTATGATTACTGCAGGGCAATCAAAAGCGCCGGCTCCCGACCGATCACGAGGTGCATCTACGAAGAATGGCCTAGAAAAACCAAAGCAACGGGTGCAGGAGCCTTCTGTGCTGTTAATCATGCTTCAAGCCGCATCCTCGCAATGTTTAGCACGGGGCGACTATGTTTCCTCCCAGCAATATCACCGGGCACTTTTGCAGGCGCGCAAACTTCCACCATCACTTCAGCGGGAAGAGTTTGGCGCCCTTCTTCATATATTCTCCCGTGGATCACGAGACGTCATTGAGCGTTCAGCATCCGGGATCGAAGAATGCGAGGCTTGGTTCGTTTGGCTAGCGCTTGCGCAAGAGCGTCACGATACTGCAATTGAGACAATGATCCACAAGGTCAAAGATCTTAGAGACAAAATGTGGTATGTTACAGATGTTCGCAACTCGGCAGCATATGACGAAGCTAGGAATGTTGCTCTGGCTTTGAAGAAGATGGGAATGCCTCAGCGACCGAAAGTTGTTACTCAGAACAAGCGCTCAAACTTGAGTCATCGTATGTCAACTAGTAGCTTTGCTTTGTTGAAGTCTGACACTTTGATCGACATTTTGGCCGCAACAACAGAACATGGGGGCCCAAATAAGCTGAGCGATGAACAGGCGAGTATGACCTTCGAGTATCTCAGCAGATATTCCGTTGAGAATTTCTGTAAGGGTGAGGAGAGGATTCATAGGTTCTGTCTGGAGATTGATAAATGTGTCACGAAGCTTGTTGGTGATGGGATACTTGATGGGCCAGTTTTGTGGTCCAGCGAGCTCTTCTCCCGTGACGACCGCGAGATGGCAATTAACAGGCAGAAAGGCGATCTCTATCTTGCCGGCGTGGGCACATTGAGTGTGACTGGCGACGACGATGACTACTATCAAGAGACGGATGGACGAAGCAGTAGCAAGCGTGGTCTTGATATGCTCAGAAGGCCTAGCACTAGCGATCTTTTCGGACGGAACAGGGCTAGCAGTATTGCTGGTTCTTTCCATGATGGACCGCCAAGCCGCAAAGGAAGAGCTAAGTCAAATGCAGGATTGATGGATTCTAAAGAGGATTTCTTGGGTATGCCTAGCCCGGGATTGCCCTCGGAATCTCACAATACCTTCTGGTCTCCGTTCTCTTCTCATAATTCTGCAAGCGCTTCTGGATCTGGTAGACCAAAGACCGCGCACTCACCCACGACACTATCGAGGTCCCCCGAAGCTATTAATCGTGAAAAGAGGAAGTTCTTGGCAGAGCTAAAGCAGTCTTTGACAGGTTTACTACTAAGTGATCTCGGACTTGAAGTGTTCAGTCAAGGGAGTGAGACAGATGCTTGGTTTTCTGGTGGACTGGGTGACGAGTGCATCCAGAGGAAAGAAGAACAAGAGGAAAGCAAGAGGAAAGCGATGGAGAAGAGCTCAAAGATCTCTGCCGCCCCTGGGGGTAAAAAGGGTTTGGGAAGGAAGAAGAGCATGAAGAATGTCCGCAAGACTTCCAATCATGGCACTTTTGAGGCACTTGGCAAGGACAAAAAGGGTGAACTGGCTGCCCCGGTTGCCACACTTGAGAACGTGGGCCGTGAAGCACACTCGGGCGAGGAGAACTCATCTTCTAGCGATGCTACTGCGCGTCCTTTCCCCTTTACTGCGACAAAGAAGGGTGGCCTATTGGCATTCCCATTCCTTCATGCATTCAAGAAGCTACTTACAAGATTTTCCACTCACCCCAATCCGTTCCAGAAACTTCAGGCTATCTATGAACTTGAGCTATTGATTGTTGCAATGCTATCTTCCCGCTCTCCGGCTTCTCTTCAGGGTAGAAAAGCGATCCCCTCGATGCCGACCTCGCCATTTCTTGATGCTATGGGAGATGCCGCAAACCGTATCTGTAGTTTGCAACTTGCACAGCCCAGCAACATTGAGGAGGCGATGGCCAACCTTGAGGAGCGTAGATCCAACTTCACCAATGGAGCTGTCACCTCTCCTTTTATGCCGCCTAGTGGCGCTCGTTCTCCTGCCCCGCATTCTGCTGCGCCGAGCGCAGACATGATTGTAGATGTCTTGCAGACTCTCTTCAGACAAGCGGAGATCCGACCGAAGACCTTGTTCCGTGATCTGCAGTATGTTGCAGCATTCGTTCCAGCCTCGATTCTCGATAGAACTGAGGTCGGCAAGGCATTCTGGGACACCGGCTTGGCAGCCTTGGGTCTAAAGCAAGACGTTTGCAGGACCATGGTGGAAATCGCGGATGAGATCGTTGCAAAGGACTCGCATAAGCGTGGATCTGAATCAAGCAAAGAGAAAGGTGGAGATTACAGCCGCTACTCCATGCAAGATGCCGCCACAATGTGGAACATCACTGCAAAGGAAGGCGATCCTACTGCTCAACGCGAATTGGCAATCTTCTACTTGACAAATCCCACTCTTCTGCCGCGGTCAACGAAGCCGTTGTCTAAGCCTAAGGATACATTCAGGCCAGAGATGATGGTGCAGAAGGGAGAGGACCCAGACAAACGTGATCCGGCCACCATGTGTGTTGCGTACCACTGGATGGAGTTGTCTGCTCAAGGGGGCGATGAGGTTGCTAGGAAGTATCTCCGCTCACAGCGAGAGGAGTGGTAGTTTTCATTTCTATTTTTTTCATTTTTATTTTTATTTTTATTTTATTTTATATTTCTTTTGGGTTGGACATTCGTGTGGATAGCTAGATATTTTCCTTCTTCTCTGGGTGATGGCGCAATGTTTTCTTCATTCATATGGGGTGCCTGTGGTTCGTTTTATTATTGTCTCTCGAGGGGATTGCCTTTTGTTTTTTTCTGTCTTCATAAAAAGTTTCCGGGGGCTTGCATCATGTAAGATTTTTGTTGACACTGGGGGTTGGTTTGTGTATTTCTGCTTCTACGTGTACTCTTTTTATTCCTTTTCTTCTTTTTTTCTCTTCATTGCGTGTATCGTGGGAAACTATGCTGGAGTTGGAACAGGGCATCATATCATCGAAGATGGAGTTTTAGTTTTTTGTATTCTTTCGTTCAAGCACAACAACACACACAACTGGGAGCGCGGTGGAGCTGCGGAATTCCTACATTCGTTTTTAAATTCCCTTTTTCTTTTACGTTCTTCTCATGCATTTTTTGAGTTGTTCTTTTATACCCTTTATATGCTTTTTGTATTATCGCTTTTGTTTATCTTATACCATTGAGCACCAGGAGAAGATGGGAGGATGCTGCCAGGGTACGTTTTTTAGTTTAGTTTTCTGAATCACCTTTTTAATTTCTATATCTCCTCTTTTTACGTGACATTTTATTTATGATGATGTAGTTGGGGGCCGGGGTGGAGGGGAGATGGATGCGGCAAGCTGCTTTCTTGTCTTTTGATCTCCGTTTTTAAATCTTCATGATATCTCTACTCATTCTTCTTTATGATATCGATAATGATGATGGTTATGATTATGATTATGAATCTCCTTTGTACGTCTCTCACTTGGGATTAGAGGATGATCTGGCTTTCTTGGTGTGTTGCTTATATAGTACGGGGATGGAATGATAGAAGTGATTCTCCTCACTTGTTGAGATTTCTTGAGGCGTACATCTGTTTCGCGCAGAAATGGCTGTGCAGTTTTCCGCTGTTGGTGATGAGGGGCGATAAGATGTTTATTAGCTCGAGTTCCCAAAAGTAGGCCGTGGAAACAGGTTGCACCGATCTACAGCCGCCCAAAAATCAACCGAGTGATTATCTATGAGGCTAGTTGTGTGATCCGTAGAAGTATATGTACCTATCGATATAGTTACACACAACACATGCTCATGATCACACCTAATCGATTGCACACATCCTACGGCGCAACAGCACTGTTACAATGCCAACTCTAATCACTATCAAAAACGAACAAAAAACAGTGGATTAAGCCATAACTGTAAGGTTGCATGCAATTAATGAATTAAACAAAAAAGAAAAGAAAAGAAAAAAAGTGGATTAAGCTATCCTCGTTCTGAAACGAACGAGGACGAGAAGAGAAAGGCAGGTATGGGTGTGTTATTCCCGAAAGAAATGACTTTCCTGTACCTCTTCCTCCGCAAATATGAAAACCTCCCCCGCCCCAGCACCCCAGATGACTCTAATTATTGTTAGCTAAGCTCACTCCAGATCAACTTCAGCAAACACTTACTGAATCTTGCTCGTTGGTGCGGTGCTTGGGGTTGATGACCCAACCCGGCCCGGCCCGTTATGCCGTGGGCCACAACCCCGACAGGACAATATCTCTGTATGACTAGTGAATGGTGTTAGCTATCTTTTTGGTTTATAAAATCGATATAATGCAATGGATACTTACACAACGAATTGGCTTTTCTGTAGGAGTAGGTGTTGCATTGTCTAAGATCGATGAGTTAGCTTATGTGAGCGTTAAGTATTATATTAGATCAACATGGGACTTACTGGTCATAGGCACTCTGAGGAGGATCAAAACCTTCGCCATTCCGATCTGGTGCGCCCACGATAGTATCAAAAATCTGTAGCACTGAAATACTGACGAGGATACCTACCGAGTTCCCCTTGTCCAGGATCGATGGACCGCTATCGTCCGGATCCATCAGTTATTTCGTCCTGCATTAGCAACCGATCTATATTATTAGCCATGGTTTTTTTACAGCTAGTATCTATAAGTATTAGAGGGCTTACCGGGTTGCCAAGCTCCCCAATATCTGATCGAGATACCTCCCGAGATTGACTAGAAAGCGCAACAAGATATCAGCCGTCTGCAATGAAACCAGGATGGTGATATTTACGGCAAGCATCCACAAATTTTTTCCTTTAATTTTCATAATATTAGCTAACCTCCTATAATTATTACTTCAAATCAAAGAGACACTTACGCAATTCCTCCTTCCGGATCCCTCGGCCCACAGCACCAGGATCTTTTCGTCTGTCTGTCAACACGGTGCTACAATTAGCAATCTATATATATAATACAGAAACAAACATTATAAAGCCAATGAAATATATCACTCACGACAATAAACTAATCCTACCAACAGAAGACAGCTGATGGTAGGCATGGCTTCACTAAAGCCGATTGAAACCTGGGCCATACTTCATGTACAGAAGCAGGCGAGCCAGCCCAATGGGTGGTGCGAGAAGATTGGAGATATTTCCGTCCCCATCTGTATCCAGATGGCTTTATTAAAGCCGATTGAATCCTAGACCATACTCCTAGGTGTGCGAACGGACGAAGGCTATGTAGCAGTGGTATGTGGGGGCGGCGATTGGTAGATTTCTAAAAATATTGGTTAGTTTATTTTCTCACATCAAGCAACGGATATTTGATATAAGACTCACAGCAGGAAGCACCCCCCAGACCAAGCAGACAATGGCCAGACTTGTCTCCCAAATACCAGCCGAAGGATGATCTTTCGATCTTATCCTCAGTCCTCCAATATGATGAATGGACTATAAATATATAGCGGAAACATTATCAGTGATTTATACTCATATCATACTGTAGCTTTGGAAAATAATTACGTTAGAGTTTGTGCACAGAAATGTATCTGGCTATGAGAATATCAAATACCACGCATTAGCAATTTTAAACAAATTAACAGTAACGATGATATTAGTTATTCACCCGAGTCGTTCAAACGGTAGCATTTGGCTGCAATATCATAACACCACGTCAGCAGTAAACCTTAAAGAAATAAATAGCAAGATATTGTTTATTTACTTTTAACAAATCTTTTTGGCTTCCGATCTGGCTATATCAAAAATCACATGTCAGCAATTTCAGAGGAAGAAAAATAAACGATTGTATTGACAACTTACTGCAATGTGTCACAGGAGAAGGGTCCCCGGATACATTAAAGCCCAACACAGAGCCCTGCTCCGTAATCTTCTCAAACACAGAGAAAGGAGGTAAAAAGAAGAAGGACGGAGCCTCCAGATCAGGGACTATCCCCTCTTTCAAGAGGCGAAAAGGCAGCAAGAACAAGAGAAATGAAAAGGGGTCTGAAGCCCATGGCTACCGGACCCACTCTTTAAAGAAATGTGTCCATTGATAAAAAATACAGAAAAATACAAAGAAAGAAACAGAGAATAATGAGTATTCATCTGTTTCTCGAGACAGAGATGACTTAAAAGGAAAAAAAAGGGATGATGGGATAAAAATAAAAGACAAAAGAAAAAAAGAGTCAAAAGGGAAAGAAGATAAAAATACATCTATCAAATTATCAGTAAACACTCCACTTCAGTAACAATCAGAAATCAGGATTTTGTATCTTACCTCCATCCTTTATGATAAAAAAAATGAAAATGTATCAGCCAAATGTTATGGCTTGCAGCGAAGAGAGAGTCTGCATACACTACATGTAGGTATAAAAAACAGACGGTGCGAATATGGAGAAAAGAAGGAAATGGAGGGAAGCAATCGGAAAAGCGTCTTTATACTACATGATCGCGTGCTATAAATTTCACTAGATACTTGTATATACAATTACAGCCATTCGTTCTCTTGTGACGGTACCGGTATCATAATTGTGGACATGATGACTACTACGTACTCATAACCGAGTGAAATTCTATGAAGAGGCGTATGCTTGCCTTAGATGCCAGTAGTCTTGGTGGAGGTACTTAAGGCATGTTTCCTAGTCTCAAGACGTAGTAGACTTACTGTGTTAGGACGTGTCCTAGCAAGGGTCTTATTAATGCTTGCCGTAACTACATGTAGTCTGGATTTTCTGCAATACCCAGGCCGGTCTACATGCGTACTCTACTAGAGCGCTGCATACAAAACCAGGATCATTCGATTCTCATACTACACACAGCTAGGGAATGTCCCACGCCCCAGCACAAATTTTCAACTTTAAGGCATGGAAAGGCTACTTGTCCTCACATTACTGCAGAACATTACATCGCAACCCAAAGACCCCAAAAGGCTACAATTCCTCAGTGGAGCATCCTACTAATCAAACCCGTCTGGGAATTTATTACTAGCAGCTGTACTGTACATACTAAAACGCCAGCAAGTAAAAATAAAACTGCAGAAGTTATGTAAATCTAATTGTGCACCAAACTCCCGGATCACTAAACCAGAACTCCCAAATACTCAGCCCTCGTCCACTTTTCCTTTAGCCCCGGCCACTGCACTACAAACCTATCCACGAACGGATACAGCAGCTTCCCGGACAGTGACAATGTCTTCACCCTCGCAAAAGACTCCACATACACCGTCCTCGTCCTGAATCCAAAGAACCTGAAAAGCAGGCAGATAGCCACCATCATCACTGCCGAGCCCGGACCATTACACACCAATGTATTCGGTATCCCAGGGTTCATAAATGCCTTCAGACACCCCCACAGACACAGCAGACAGCTGAAAGGCGTCGTGAGCCAGCTCTGGCCGACTCTACGGGCACGTGGGATCTCGACGAGTTTATAGCCAAATTTCCCGCTTTTGCTAGGGCCGAGCGCGCGCTCAAAGGCAACGGCTTTGGCGGCGGAGAAGGTGTCGCCGGAGGAGAAGACATAGGTGCGGTTGTAGCGATCTGGGGACATTGTGCTGAAGAGGGAGAGCATTTCGGCGGTGTGGCCGCCCGAGCCGAGGAGTATCATGATTGCAGGGCGGACTTTTCGGTCTACGAACCGTGGAGGAGGCGTGGGGGTAAAGTAGGGTATTATGGCATGGAGTCGGATCTGCGGATTTTTTGGTGGTTAGTTAAGATAGAGAGAGTGTTTGGTTTCTTAGGGAGGGGTGGAGAAATTACAATTGAGAGAACGACAGTCCAGAGGAAGAGAACAAGCCCAATTATTAACAGAATCATGATTTTGAAGGGCCGAGTGACAGGTTGATGATGCAGTACGTACTAGCTCGGTGTGCGTGTCAACGGTGTCATGTTCTCTAGAGCTCATTGAGAGGGTAACATCCCCCAGCCGTTACCCTCCCCTCTCCTGCCAAGCCCCCACCAGGAATGAATTCCAGGTACAAGGCCCCTCCACCGCAACCCACCAACCGCCTGCCCGCCCGTCTCCATCATATCACCCCCAAAATGCTGCTCCCACGACTAATATCCGGCCTGCGGACGACCTGCAGCTCCGTGCTCCGACAGCAGCCGTTCCTCAAGCCCGCCGTCACCACCACTGTCCGTTATGCAACCCACAAAGCCTCAAAGGCCTCCAACGGCGCCAAAGACGGTCCCGGAAAGCGTCTCGGTGCCAAAAAGACCACCGGTGCGCCTTACTGCTCCAATCCCCACTACTGAATCACACCAATTGACTCTGGGGACATAACAGGCGAAAAGGTTGTGACCGGAATGATCATCTACCGCCAACGTGGAACCATCTGGCACCCCGGCGAAAACGCCGGAATGGGCCGTGACCACACAATCTACGCGCTGCAGCCAGGCTACGTGCGCTACTATAAAGACCCAGCGAAGCACCCGCGTCGCCAGTACATTGGTATTGCTGTGACGCCAACACAGACGCTGCCGAAGCCGCAGAATGCAGCGAGAGTGCGTAGGCTGGGAATGGTAGCGGTGCCGCTACATGAGACTGTAAAGAAGAGCGATTTGGTGCCGCAGGGAACACCCATGACCAGGGAGGACAACTGGAAGGTGTCACAGGGATCGTACATCCCAAGAGCGGCCAATTGGCGTATCGGAAAGGTTATGCCCAAGCTAGTGAGGAAGAAAGTGAGAGCGGACACAAGGAGGAAGGCAGTGAGAAAGAGGGAGATTGCCGTCAAGAAGAGGAAGTAGATTGTGGGCGAAGGGGTCTAGCCCTCTTTTTGTATAAAAATGAAAATTTGAGAGGGCTTGTAGTATTAGATATGGGGCTTTTTTTTTTTCGTCCGGATTTTCGCGAGCAATAATCTTGTGTAAATACCACCATTTGTGATCATACTTATCACCTGCCAGCTTTGGTTGGGTTTCATCGGTTGGGGTCTCAACCCGTTCGAGTGATATTTGATGAGTGGAACGAAACCTATACATATCCATGCGTGGATGGCCGAGGAGAGTTCAGAAAGCGTAGTTAGAATCAAATTTATACTCCATGCCCATGATCGAAACTGCGTCATTCTGTGTTATTATTAACTACGTTGCGCTGTTCTAACAAAGAAAAGTAGCAACTCGACTCGTGGAGAGAAACTGGATTCTCCATAGAAAAGTTTCCTTACCGAAGCTGGGATAGTGGTCGTACACTACATGTAGGTCTTCTCAATCGCTCATATAGGAAAATATTTTCCATACATCATATCATCTCGAGTTCTCTACAACGAAACACACTAGAGCCAATAGCGTAATTAGTATTGATTCTAATTATTTACGTTGTCTCGCAGAAACAAATCATGTGTGTTCCTACGTACATGTACTAGCCATTTCCCTCAAGTGGCAGTGATTCGCCAGTTGACCTGGGACATGTCTAAGACAACCATGGGTCAAATATACTAGATTTATGGATAGATAACAATTGTGTCTTAGATCTTGGTTTCCAGGGAGCTCTTGATTCACTAATCTTATTGGAACTCCATTCCTTGATCACGTATGCAGGTCTTTGCATAACATGGGTGACGATCTGGTAAAACCGTCTTCATATCCAAAACCACACAACCAATAAACTCCAAAATCTTTCTAAAATTGAGGGAACCTTGGTGAGTGCAAGGCATTTTATTTTCGGTTATTTTTTTTAAAAAATTAGAGGCTATATATAGAGCGCCGTGGTGAACTGGTGCGTGAGCTTCGTTGCGTTGTCACACTGCACCGGACTTTTTCACCAGATTGGCACTTCCGAACTGGTCTATGATCATATCTCAATACTTATATAAAAGATAGGTATCTATTGGCTCTATTTCGTCTTTATAGTAAATTAACAAAGCCTACATTAACATTCTCGCACGCTAATTACTCAGTACTTCATGCCTGCCAAGGCCCGAGTGACACTTCGTGATGTCCATCACATGCACGATTACCTAATCACAAACCTTCTTTCAATTCCACACTTTCGGATTTTCGGCCTCAAACCCAAAACTCCTCCAATCCCTATACTCCCGCCGCCGCAGCAATGGCCACCCACACGACCCGCCAAACTGTCTCAACGTTGCTCACCACCTCGCGCTGTCTCCGGCGCCAAACACCCGCCGCCGCCCGCCTCCTAGCCGTGCCCGCAGCCCGACGATGCATGCACCAAGAGCAACAACCTCCTGCGGAAGCAGCACCATCAACCGGTATTTCATACAGACCAATGATAAACAGGAATAGGGCGCCCTTCTCGCTAAGAGGCTCGAAGCCATTTGCTATCAATGAGGACCCGGAGAAGCTGGATGCGGTGTACCAGTCACTACTGGGTGGGAACCCAGGGATCAGCGAGGAGATCAAGTTGCAGGCGGTCACGCACAAGAGTTTTGATCACGGGTGGCAGCCGTACAATGAGAAACTGGCCTTCTTTGGTGAGTGTTTTTTTTATATAACGCTTACGGAGGTTTCGGGATTGCGTTGCGCGAGGTGGGGTGTGCATATGGGGTGGGGTTAGAGGGGCAATCCTCTGGGGTCTGAGGATATATCGAGGTCGCATATATTAGAGCTAGATATCGGTTTTGTTCATAACTAACCATCATGGATTCCGCTATACAGGTAAACTAGTTCTACAGATGCACACCTCTCTGCATCACCTTGCAACCCGGCCCGAGTCACTAGGTCCCCGCAAGCCCCACACCGCGCCCACTGAAAACGATGCCAACGGCCCAGTACTGAAGCCGTTTCACCACCCTGACTACCATTACCTTACCTTTGTCAACCGCAAAAATGTCCAGGAAACACTCAGCGCCGGTAAATTAGGGCATCTTGCGCGCGTCGTGGGCCTACCGGAGGTCATGAGGTGGAAGCCAGCAGACGTGGGTTCTCACCTCGTTCACCTAATGATGAGCTTTTGATTGGGCTGACAGATGATGTGGATGCATAGACCAACGATCTTGTGAGATCTGGGCAGACCGATGTTGCGGTGGAGTGCTTGTACGCGATCATTGGTGCGGTGGCACTACGGAGGGGTGGAGACGTCGCGGGAAGGCTGGTAAGGGAGAGGATATTGAGTGTATTGGGGACCTCTCCAAGGTCAACTGAATAAAAGTGGGTTTGCGCGGTTGATGGGAGAAAGCTAGTTTTTATTCTTTGTGATCATGGCGGCTTCATAATTACATAGCCAAAGGAAAGAAAAAGGTATATTGTTAGTGATAGGCTGTGACGCTGATATGACGAGGTGAGGTAGGTGGAACATAGACATCATTTTAAGATGGGTTGTATCATATTCTACTCTTCATGCTGTATATTTTTTGTAACTTCCTCGGCCTTCTTTCTCGATTTGAGGGCGATGGGTTTATCTGTGTACCGAGGTTGTGCTTATGCCTTTGTGTGGGGAAATCTGGCTGGGGAAAGGATGGTCTATTTACTTGGCTTTGATTCGAACAATAGCAAAGTGAGATCTCACTGAATACATGCAGCCCAATCATTAACTGCGTGAACCGATCAGCCACAGGGCTGGAAATCAGTGTCATAAGTATTAAAACAGCCTCATAGCCCTTTATTGTGAAAACAGTGAGAATCATCAACTCCTCCCCAGTACTGAGATATTCATACATGTTGCAGTCACCGTTACTGGCGGCCAGGGCCGAATGCAGTTTCAAGATTCCGCGATTTGCCAAGACACGCATCCCACCATCCCGTTTTAACTTTTCTTTACGAGTCACAAAGGACGGCCCGTCGAACTCTCTCTCACTCACACTCTCTCTCTTCCACCTCCTCTCTCACCCTCCTTTACTACTTCCTACCATCAACCTTCGCTTTCAACAGCCGCAACACTGCCGGATTTACTAAGGTATGCTTGTTCCACAAACCTCTTTCTTTCTCTGTCACCCTCCATGCTCGCTGTGATGAAAAAACCGTATTTTATTCCATTGAGAGGGAGAATGTTTGATTTTTCGCCCTCCCTGAAGATTAAAAACAGACTACAACGGTATCTGAGCGACCAACGAGCATCTAGTTTAGCATGATTCCCGAGGCTGGGAAATAAATACTCATGCTAACATGAACTCTCTGCAGAATAGGTTGCTTTACAGATCAGTTTTGGGTGTCTAGTGGTATGTGCCTACTTTCCCCCACTTTTGAACCCCTCGCCCCATTGCCCTGATGAAAACCGTATTATTTCCATTGAGCGGGAGAATGTTTGATTTTTCGCCCTCCCTGAAGATCAAAAACAGACTACAACGGTATCTGAGCTACACACATCATCATCACTGATTGATTACCATTGCACTACATCATCTGCATGCACGTTTAAAAAAAAACCCCAACCGCTAACTTGCATCAAACAGAACTATAATGACCAGTTCAGCCCCTTCCATAACAATAACGCCGGCGGATTCGACACCCACGCACCCCGCACCCACCTTCACTCTACCCACCCCACCCGCCGCCCCCGCTCGCTACAAGAAGCCAAACTACAATGTAGTCCATGCTCTTCCGCTCCCACTAACCACTGTTCCCCTTCCTCCGCTAATCCCCCACAACCCTCTCTCCCTACTACACATCATAATTGCCTACCTCTTCCCCGGCACCACGTCCCATCCGTCCCCGCTACATGTGGGAGCCTTTCACGCCTCAACCCGTGCGATCCATGTAACGGACCCACAGTCCATCAAGGCTTTCTGGGAGCACGGCTTCTTCGGCAAGGGCTCGCTCTCACGCTCGGAGCCCACATGGGTCATCCGCAAGCGCCGTGCGCTGGGCGTCATTGGCCAGAACGAGGCGCTGACTTCTGAAGAAGTCACAATGCGGCGGCGTGAGGAGCGCAAAGAGTTTAAACGTGAGCGAGCCCGCGCCGAGAAAGAGCGTAGGGAGAAACAACTAGCAGAGGAGGGGAAGATCGTCAGGGGCCCCGACGATGATCAAGAAAAAGAACAACGAGATTCTGCTGCAGCAGCTTCCTCGTCCTCAAAGTCTATAACCTTTGCAACGGTGGAACTACCGCCGCGGAGGAGAAGCCCGGAAAGACCAGTTGTGGAAGTTGAGGACCTAGAGCATCTGCAGCTCACGCTTGAGGAGTCCTTTTTCTTGTCTTTCGGGCTAGGTGTCTTACAGATCAAGGATTCCAAAACCGATGTATGTACTAATCAAATAAACTCATTTTTTCTATTCCATCCATCCATCCAAGTGAAAAAGAAACATAAAGCGATAAAAAAAAGCCATAAAAATTGACTCGATCTTTCAGGAAATCATTCCTCAAAAAGACTTGCTTTCCATGTTCCGTTGCCAATCATATTTCCCGCCACGCACGCCCGACATGCTCCAGCCTGATGACCCATTCCTGCTCAACTATGTTGTCTACCACCACTTCCGCTCACTCGGCTGGGTGGTCAAGTCTGGTATCAAATTCGCCGTAGACTACCGTAAACCTCACTTCTCTACCCTCCAAATACATTACGAAAACAGCTAACAATCATAACCAGTTCTCTACAACCGCGGGCCCGTATTCACACACGCTGAATTCGCAATCCTTGTCCTCCCAGCATATTCACACCCCTACTGGGACCATGATCGAGTGCGCAAGGAGGAGCGCGAGAAGAAGCCGTGGCACTGGCTACACTGCATCAACCGTGTCAGCTCGCAGGTCAAGAAGACGCTCATCTTGGTTTACGTAGAGGTCCCACCGCCGCTGGAGAAGACGGGCGCTGAGGATAATGTGCCCAAGATGTTGGCGAGGTACAAGGTGCGCGAAGTGGCGCTGCGCAGGTGGCTGGTTTCTCGTAATAGAGATTGATACTTTTGCTATTGATTCCGTGGAGGGCAGGGGAGTTTTTGGTTTTGGAAAAGCCGGCGTTCTGGTGGTTTCTACTAGCAGTTATCAAAGTTTAGATGAAATAAAAGCGGATCATTTTTATCAAGTTTTGGAATGGACATAAGTTGTTGTACTGATATGTTTTTCATTTGTGGTTTTGCTTACTCGTTCTATCTCCGCCCAATGTAAAATACAGATTATATCAACCATAATAACTCCTTCCAAGCAGAGTCAGTAACAAAAAAGAACAAAGAAAGAGAAAGAAGAAAAGAAGCACACAAGGAATCAATCCATAGTCTATAAATCCACAACATCCCCTACAACCTGCCTACAACAATCCCTTCCTTGCTAGCTCCACCTTCAACTTTGTCATCCCCTCCGCCCCGCTCTTACTCACGCATATCGCCATGCCATCTGGATCCAGCTCAAACTTCTCCTCGACGTCCGGCCACGCGCAGGGGCAGTGCGTAGGCTTGTCCACGCAGGCCAGCGTTCCAGGACACAGATAGTTACTACACGATGCTGTTCTCTCTGTCAGCCCACCTTCATTCACAGTATTGGAGAGTAGTAGAGGCACATACCGCCGTCGTAGGTGTTCTGGTACCACTGACTATCCGACGCGACGTTCTGGCCGCGCTGTTGCTGCTGCTGCTGTTGCTGACCGCCGCCAAACATGCCCTCGAAGAAGTTGCCGAATTGGGCGCTGGCAAGCAGTGGGAGTGTGAGGAGCGGGAGGAGTGATAGGTACATTTTTTCTTCAATTTCCTTGTGCTTTTGGCCTTGGTTTGGTGCAGGTGGGGGTGGGGATTCGAAGAGGTGTTTACTTGTTGGATGTTTTTACTGGAAATCCAAAGCAAGCAAATAGTTAAGGACAGCTTGAAGTTTGCTGAGGCTCTACTTACTCAAACCTAGTCCAATCGGGCTTGGCAAAGCACTCACTACCCTGGCCACGGCAGCGCATTAACTACATGTATGGCTCGAGAAGCTATGGTGGGTGTGTAAACTTCGGCGTTTGCAGCCAATCAATCTATAGGAATTGGGAGATCTACCCCTATAATGGTACTAGCGCCTAGCCTGACGGTGGAATTTTCTCTAATTCCCATACAAAAAAGTTCCTCTGAAGTTGACACACCCACCTATGCCTTCTCGCGCCATAGTTGTTGGCAACGTCTGGGACAACGTAGGAGAGCTTCTGGAGAGAGGTATTGACTACATGTACCTATGTCTATCCTCCTCTGTCAGTGGCTAGCCATACTGCTCACACTTACAAAAAACTGCCGCTTCGCGTGGGGGGTTGCGAATCATTTGCTGTGGCCCATCATGGAAAATCATTCGATGTTTCGTTTCCAGAGTCCCAGCGAGAAGACCACGACATGTCTTCAAATTGGTCTGACCCGAGTCAAGTCAGGAATGAAACTCCTTGATTGGCTGCTGAGACTGCTGAGGTGGTACTTAAACGCGGACTGCTGTTTGCCTGTTTTCTGCAGCGGTATAACATATAAAACGGACAACACGGCAAAAATCCCAGGACTTTACGTTACCTCCTTAAAGTACCTACATACATCGTGCCCGCAAAGAAATTTCATACCCGCTCACGCCGATAAAAAAAAAATCTACTTGTGCTCGTGAGCAGTCAGGGATGGGATGATCATGATGGCCCATGGCTGATCAGCACAGTATATACATAGCCACCTACGTGTATGGATACATGGCCCCAATGATTGGATCCAACAGTTTCGCATGGAACGCGCAGGAGCGTTTGGCTGTATACAGCGATAGGAATGATCTATGGAAAAACATTTATATGGTGCACAGATATTTCGCCATACAATTTCACCCCCTGTTTCTCCATAGATCATTCCGGTCGCTGTACGTACATTCATCTATATACCTATTTACCATGGTTCGATTTAAATCCACGATTCGAATCAGGTTACAGGGTGAGTATTCATTTATGAAACTACATCTATCGTCATCAGCTAGATCAAAAGAGTGGAGTAGAACGGAAGATGCGCTTGTAATCGACCGTAATAATCTACTTGGTTGGCTAGGTTTTTACCCGGTCTGTACCTTCATAAGGGAAAAAGGAAAGTAAAGCAGACTTGATTGGATGCACCACTCACGATGCCTCTTATTCAAAGCACCAGAAAGCAGTAAGCACGACCAACCCAGCTCATTAAATCAGTCAAAACAGTGCAATATATCCCTCGTTGCCATGACCGTGGGGGTATAGCTATCTGCTAGCTGTACTATCAGCTCCAGTAACCAGCCCCTAACCCCCATATTTCCAAAACCTCGATTCACAGCCATCAACACCCTGGCTTCCAAGCTAATTGCTGTTAGCTATCCGAAGTCCCTTCCACGTTCGCGCACACGATCATCACCTCTTTCTCAAGAGCACGTCAGCGCATACAACGTTCTCCCTCAAATCTACCGCCTTCCTCGATTGAGATCGCACCTAGAACTCTGAATACAACGCACCCTGGTTCAACTATGTCCCAACCCAGACTGCCGGTCCCTGACTATGGGATGGAAACGAGATGTGGAGGCGGTAGCTACCAACGGGCCCTACCTACATGTACATACATATGTATTTATGAGCGATCATCTACTCGTAACAGCATTCTGGGATAGATACATACCCACTCCGGCCACGAGCCCAACGGACAGAGCCATGCGTGGAGAAATGTGATGTGCTGGGAGTGAACCAACACTCCGATAGGCCGCTGGCCCGGAGAAACTAGCAGTTCCTTGTTTCTGTGTGTGCTGTGCACGTGACTTGTTTGATCTGCTGAATCGAATGGTAGATAGACCTGGAGGAATGTACGAGGGCGTCATACATCTGTGCCTTGCTCCAGATAACGACGATGTCTATTTTTGACCGTCCCATTGACCTTAGAAGTATACTATGGTGCTTCCAGGATTTCCTACATCTCAATTATGTATCACTTAGGGTTGGAGCCAGCAGAGAGGAGAACCACAAACTAATCTTATTTTCGCATGAGAGAAATGATCAATGACAGAGATATGAAATACATAATAGCTTTCAATAAGGAACCTAGTAAAGTACATAGAAAGGGTGAAACGCCAGCGTATAGTAAGAATCTTAAGCAAAATATGAAAGGCAGAGCCACGAAAAAACAATAAAAGACAATAATGCAGTAAAGAACTGGCAATTGGGAACAAGTACACAAGAATGTAAAATTTAAGCTGAGTGTCAAGAAAAGTGCCAGCTACTTAATTGTTTCAAGTCGCTGCGTCTTTCATTAAATCAATGAAATAAACCTGTCAGGTACGTTTTTTGATTCGTTGTGATAGATTGTAACTGCCAAAGCTCTAGCAGGTGTTCCTATAAAACAAAAACACGGGCCAGTTAGCCAGTGATCTCCTCAGTATTCGTAAAAGTATCAATCTTGTGTGATTGTAGAATACAGACTATCGGGTTGGCTTCCAGGTCTCCATGCAAGTTTAATCCCACGCTCTCCAAATGTAACATAAGCACCCAAATTGTCAATGTCATCGCCAACGCCGAGCGCCACCAGGCCCCAAAGAACCTCGGGCGACCCTAAGAGTACTGCAACAGGATTTTCTCTGGTTTCGTCTGTGGGATGCAGGACATGTGCCGTTTGAGCGAAGAGTTTGGCCCAGCTAGAGACGTTTGTCGCGCGGAAATTGTAAATGAGGTAGCTAGAGGGCCCGATATGATCCAACTTTAAACATTCAGGTTTATCATCGGCGCCTTCTTCGAATGCTAAGGCTCTCCAATTTTTGTATCCATCATCCAGTCCCCTGCTACAGCATGGTTCCTTTGGATGGCCAGGAGAAATGAAAAAGCAGATTTCTCCAGGATTTGAGGGTAGCCGGCACTCAGTAATAAAAATACCTGCACAGCTGTGGTGTAGATATCCTCCGCGTTTGACACGGTCTAGGTCATCGATGCGCTCCAGGCCAACTCCGCTCTCACAGCTGAATAGAAAGGTTCTACCTATCTCTCTAAGAGTTTCTGACAATGGGAAGAGACCAGGACCAATGGCCTGGTAAAGGGTAATCTCGAGAATGTACTTCGACTGAAAGAATATCAGCACTGATGAGTATCTCTCATAAGAGCAAGAAGAAAAACTGAAGAGCCAGGGATAGATACCATATCCATATTCGTCGTTACTGCGCTTTCGTCCTGCGTGCGTTCTTAATTTTTACTTCAGAGAAATTAGGTCTTTGTGTAGGCTTTATATCTATCCAAATGCTCCACTTATTCATGACCCCCAACCATTTATATAGAGGATTGCATATTGAGTATCGTCATGATCGCGAGCAGAGCCTCATCGTATATGGGTGGTGTGGGTCAATTAATTTGGGTGGTGTTAAAGAGATGTTGATTCCTCATGATGAAACAGGCGGAACCTAGTGGTCAAGGTCGAGCTGTTGTTGGCCATTTCGATTTGTTGGAAACAAACCATCTAGCTTCTTCTGCTGCACACGCGTGCATACATGTAGCTAATGGTTTTATCAACCACACCCTTGTGTTCAAATTTCTATTGACCGCAGAGAGAACCGTTTAGAAGGCCCATCATGCATGTTTGACCCAACAGTACCACGTGTTAATTCTCGGGAGCTTCTATGAGGTAGACCCAGCATTATAATATGCCATCATTTCTGATAAGCGTCCAGCTAGGTCACGTCACGAATCTTTCGTGATATTCATGAACAAGTCGCAGAGCAGCTAATAGATGACAACCAATTGCAAGAGGCTCGGCGGCAAGAAGCTTGCAAAATGAACCCGAAAGACTTCAGTGCGCGCAGCCGGTAAAAGCGAACAAGAGAAATAATAACAACAGTCCTGAGTATAATAAGCTGAGCGAGGAGCTCCTGCCATCCATATCCGGCTGATAAATGAGACAAAAATGTAAGTCCAGTGTGGTATATGATCGATATATCAGAAGAGATCAATACGGCGTAGTAGATTACTATCGATCTGATGGACTATATTATCAACCTTCATGGTTAAAGAAAGTCGATTCTGTTGTAGACTGTTCATCGCATATCTAGAGAATGATATGAAGAGCGTTGGTATTTATGGTTCGTGCCTGGTAGCGGTAGGCATAAGGACTACCTTGCGCTTGGTTCGCTTCGTCTGTCAATTTTGTACTCTGAGACCAAACCAGGTTTATAATCGCACTCTCGTGCTTGGTTGGTTGGTTGGTTGGTTTGGTCGTTCACAAACCACCATGTGACGTATTGAGGTGCAGGTGACATTTACAGCTACCTACAGTACCTACGTATTCAGAGACTTTAGACGTTCGTCGAGCCCAGTTTATGAGTAGGGGATCTTTAAAAGGACTTAACATTCATCTTTCCGTTAAATTCTATCACCTGTGTCGTGCGGAATTTGTTTCAAAGGGCGAGGCCAGCGATAGGCTGTAGATCTGCAGTATCCCGGGATAAACAAACACAGACCACAAGCTGAATATTGATGGGTGTTTGTGGTGAATCCAGCAGCGTAAACCATTAATCTCAGGAGATGGGGGCGTCAAACAGTGCACGAGGGAGCGACCCTTTATATGTCCTGGAGCCTGGTTATGATGACTTGGTCATTGAGAATTGTGTGCGCACTCGCACTCCTCTTCGCACCGATAGTTACTAGCTAGCTACATACATATACACCATTCGAAATCCGACTTCCGGCTGCCCCATTCAAAATGTAACATTTTTCGCACAACCGGATGGTATTGTAAATAGTAAGTTGCCTCTTTGTAACTTCCAGTTTTCCTAGTTTGAGAGTTTGAGGTCGAGGTCAGAGGCGGACGACATGTAAGTAAATACACATCTTGCGCACCCGCATTTTATTACACCAACACGCACAAAATGAATTGTGTGTGGCCTCCCAGTGAGTAGTGACTTCTCGACTCTGCACAGGCAAAAGTGTTCATGTATTCTTCCGGGTGTAGGATGAAATCATAACCCTTGCACTGGTACAGCCAACATCGCCATGATTCGATCATTCCTTCGAAACTTTTGTTTAACAAATTAATTAATAGCGTCACCAGAATTCGAGTATAAGGGAATCAATCCTTAATGTACTTTGAATTCGGTGTTATACTTCGTATGATGTCGGAAACACCCTGCAGGCTTTTGCAAGGCTGGAGTGAGGCGAAGGATGATTCGCCGACCATAAGTACATGTTTCTCTAAATCCTCACTTCTGTTGGGTTGAGATCCTCCCGCATGCGTCATAGATATGAAGGGGATAAGTGGTCGAAGATAGGAGTTTGACGTCTTTGGAGTATCAGTATTGATGATGATTGGAATTCTTCGTTGGACACCCAATCACCTCCGCACAACCGAAGAATTTTAAATACAGTATTATGCCGATAATATGTACGGCCCCGAAAGCAAAATTAGCGGTCTCCCAATATTCTATAATAACTATATGAGGGTGACAGGACCTAGATTTGCTAAACTCGCCGAGAAGCTCGTATGCAGGTAGGCTGTGACGCATAATTTGGCTTGTATTGCTGCCGGCAATACTCGGGGCCCAAAACCTGGAACACTAACTATGCTAGCCAGGAGAATCCCGACTGGTCTAATTAATATTTCGACACCGTGAGTATTATTAGGTGATCTAAGTGTCTGGTACACTCATTGGGTAATCACCGGGATATCTCATGATCAGCTGATCTAGTTTTCAGATGTCATTAGAAGGTACACTTAACTATTGTAATAGGATTGTAACCACATCCATAGAATAACATAATATCGCGACCTCAGAACCCTGCTCGATCAACCACCTGAGCATGAAGCCATGAAATAAGGGTCATTCCGAATGGTGGGCTATATCCTCTTGCAGAAATATAAGGATCGATCACTTCAACGATGTAACGATAAGATAAGAGTTCTTAGTTTCCCTTGGGGACTGCAGCTGATGCAGGTATACATACACGTAGCTCTTGTATGTACCTGGCTTTACTGCGAAATTAACTATACCAAAAAAGAATTAAAGTTAGCCTATATGTTCACTTTATTGTTGGAGTTAGATCTAAATACTTAATTTGTGCTTAGAGCTTACCGTTATGTATGTGTTGCCGCAGAAAATCCGGCATCACCACTCCTCACTCGCTAATAACTAAATTTCAGAAGGATTATCAATTGTACACCTTCCCTTAACATCAGTTTATATAAGAGTTGTACGATTCCAGATCACCTGTGCTTAGACCTCGTTAAGCGTAATCCATCTTCTTCCAACTCCATACGTGCGCAGTGCGATAGCAGCTAGTTATAGTTGTATCAAGTGCTCGGAGTGGGTAGGAGTGGGTAGGAGTGTTGTAATCGTATGTGATATATGAATGCTGCACGATGCGAGATTTGCTGGCAAATACTTGGTCCAGGTGTCCTTGGGCATCCAACCGTACCACGGAGATTCTTGTAGATTTTTCGATTCAATTCTGCCTCGATGGAGATTGCTCCACGGTAATTAATTGCCCAAGAGTATCGCTGAGACTATTCCGAAGAGTGTGACGACTAGTACTTGGAATGGAAAGTTATTGTGGAAAGCTATTGTGAAAAGTTAGGCCTTAAGTTCCTCTGCACTTCCATCCTAGATAAAACAAAGATGTATGTACCTATCCAGAACCTATTGGAGGTAGCAAGGGTATTTATTCGGGAAGGCTTCTCGGGTGGTCCCGCAGAGCCGCTAGTATACTTCGGTTAATTACATCATGTTCCAGAAATCTCATTTTCACGACGCCACATCCCGGCAGTATTGAAACACTACATTTAGCTACATGTACATGTATGCCTGCGTCGGTGTGCCTACATTTGAAGATCTGTGATCGTAAACATTAACTTACACATGTACTTCGGATTAGGACTTGGATCATCGTTCTAAAATAACACATGCTAGTGATAATTGATTGGGACCGTATATATATTGAGTTCTTAGTATATTCGTGTGTGAAGAGTTTAACGACTCGAGTACCGGCTACATGTACTTTTCAGTACAGTTGAAGAATAAGAAGACTTTTTCTATAGTTACAATGGAATCATTTCTCGGATTACGTGTCAGATAGTTGGTTAAACAGGCCTCTGGGAACGAAATCACTGATGATTTTACCGTGAGGAAAACATTGGGTTGCCTTAAATGTATTCTCAATTCCTCAAGCGATAGCAAGACTGGAACTCAAGTTCGGTAAAATTTTAAATAGGCTAACAAACAGCCAATCTCAAACGGTTGACGGAACTAGACACGAATTAACTCGCAAGGCCTAGCCAACAACCACATAATCTGTTAAAACCCAAACCGAGAACTGCATGTAAGTAAGTCCTATATGATAGTGTTGGAACGGACCATAGAAATATATTTATTGGTTAGGGTTAAATTTGAACGATCATGAATTGAGCATCATCTATAAGTACTTCATAGCAGATGCTTTTGCAATGAGCATCATCCATATCTCGCACTAGACATCACAGCTCAACCAGACCGACAAAGCCATATTTGTAAAGTTTAAAGACCAATAACTTGCCCGTCATTAATTACAACGCAATTCTATTCACGTCTTATAACCTTTGTCCTTTCGAATTCCTGGCTCTTGATACCTTTACCTCACCAAAACCCTACAGAGATTCAAGACTTTTTAGTGTACGTACTAAATGTAGTAAAGACCCAACAGGATAGATCATGATACCAATAAGCAGAAACAATTCTGGCTCACGCCAATATGTAGATACTAGATACATGCGTGTATCCCTTAGTCTGGCAATGCTGACCCCCCTATAATAGAGGAAATAAATTTGTATGGGAGATCTATTATTTGATAAGAGAGATAACAAGATCTGTTAGTAAAGCCACACAAAGATTTGCTTTTTGGGGGATCAGCATTTTTTGCCAGACGAAGGGATATGTACGTATGTAAATTAACGCCATTAGTTTTTGTAGGACTTGGTGTGGCCATAAAAGGATACTCAATTAGTCGATGTTCGCCGTGAAAACCCCGCATGAACAGCCTTGTCAATCACAGCTCAACAGCTAAAATGTAACGGAATTAGATTGGTGGCTGGGATGGCCGCTGGAAGTATCGATGAGACATGTAAATCGGCCTGTCCGTAAGGCACCGCAACTGTTAATCTCTGACCAAACTTCTCGTATATGTGTCTTGAGGCATTTCACAATATCGTCGTGTCTCGAGGCCTCTCGAACTTCCGTGTCTGGTGATACATATCGAAAGTAAGTTGTCCCCAAATTAAACCCTTCGCTAACACTAGCACTGCCACGGGTGTCTTTACATCAACCCTAACCCTGTTCCCAAAATTTTCATCTCGGCCTACTCTAACTGAGTGGGTACATACTCTACCGGTAGACTCCTGGCTGCCGTAGTCGATCATCACGCTAGAAGATTATGTTACTGAGTCTATAGCAGGAACAGACGACGGAATCTGCAAAATCCTAATTAAGACTTTGATGCTCATAGGCCGCGGCTGGACCAGAAATTCCTTGATGGGACCACCAGTGAAAAGAGACTGAAGGAAGTAAAGACCGTGCATGGAACCAAAGTTTCGATATCCATATCTAGTACTCTACTACTGTACCTATGATCAATGTCCGCTGCAGGAGCTCCTGGACGATACCTACTCTCTCTACGTACTATACTATACTACCTACCTCTATCTTCAAAGTGAAGCACGGATGGCTAAAATTTATATCTGGTGCCGCAGGATGGTGATATCTACAATGCACTTTTCCGTCATTAGATGAATATGCGAGAGTGGAATGCCCTGCATGTCTAGATTCCGTGTGGAGGGCTCAAACTTCAGCCCAGAATAAATACTGTATGTACGATTGCCGATCTGATAGCCATATAGAGCACGGGAAAGGATTTTCTCGGCTCTTTGGCTTTGCAAGTGTGGAGAACCTTCCCCTATACCATGTAAATTGCGTAGGAGGCTTACCCCAGACGAGGGTAGATAGATGGATGGCGTCCTAGGCCAGGCTTCTTGTTTCCACGAAGCCTCAAAACACGAACTCGGGCTAGAGATTCTGGTACAAATACATACAACTCTAGCTCATGACCAAGGCCTCTGTTAATCCTCACACTTCGATTAGCGAATTATTTTTCCTACATACTCGAGAAAGAGCAGGCCTAAGCGTAGGTACTCCACGTTAAGCTGCAGAACGAATTTTTCTCCATAGAGTGGTGCGGTTTCGGAATGGTGGCCGGCCCAAGACGAAATAGAAATAGGCCCAGCTAGTTGCAGACGCGGTGCATCCCTAAACGGGCGGGTAGATATCTGACTGTTAGAAGTTAGTCCACGGCTTGAAGCTTCTACTCTGGAGTAGGTAACCAACGTTGCATCTAACGAAGGGCGAGGGACTCGGAGAAATCTCGGGAGGAGTAAGAAAGGGTGTTAGAGATTTGATGCACAGATGGGCCCGTGGTTATCATTACTACTCCTGTTAATCCAGTGCCAGTACTACTGACAGCCATTATTGATAAGAGACTGAGTATTATGTGCAACTATCAGAATATTTGCCACTGTTAGAAGACATTTTCAGTCGCTACTGGCTTTAATAATCATTTTATCCACCCAGCAAGCTTAATACCCGAGTACACTAGCTAAAGTCTGGGGAGAATGTCGGAGGAAAAAAATAATCCGACGGCAAACCAAGATCTGAAGATCTTCAGCACGTGTTGCTACCTAGCTCATGCACAGAGAGACTGCTCCGGAGTTTGTTAGAGTTCCAAAGGGCAAAGGAGACAAAATGAGTTGAGGGTATGGCCAAAGAGCCGGTACATGATCGATGATTGCCGGTAGTTCAGATTACCCAGAGAAAATCCCACACACACACAACGTTCCTTGAGGCTCAAACGCATCTGAATTGAAAAGTTCCCACTAAACAATATGTCCGTGCGCCGAGACTTCTTTATTGACTGGACCATGGGACCGTGCGCCGGGGGTGGGAAGCGACTGATATTTGTTATGGGGAAACTCGGGACAGTGCCGAAGCAACCGCCGCCACCTTGGACTTGATCCCTTCAACTGTGTGCAACGTCCACTCTACAAGTCTATGTGCGATTTGTTACCAGGGATGTCTATCTCCCCAAGTGATGTAAACCTGGAGTGTGCGTCGGAGTGGGGGACCCTTACTCTTGCATCCGGATGGCGGACCGTTGGACCGGCTAAAGTTGGATTCCAGCCACGACTTTGGACATCTCTGGTGGGGATTCAAGATCAGCCTGGAATTCATTACCTAGGGGGTACATATAGCTCCCATGATGCAAAATTTCCCCATCGTGGGTCCTTATCTACTCAATTACTCGCTAGTAGCTGCCGCCTTCAGAGATATTGCGGGTTGCCGCTTGCTGAGGCACAGAAAAAATGCGTGAGGTGAAGCAGGAAGAAAAAAAAAAAAGGAAAAAAGAGCTAAAGCTAGAAAGAAAGAAAAAACTGCTTGATTAAGCTAAAGAAATGAAGGGTCTTTGGTTCCTAGACCCTTTCCCGAGAGGTATCCTTCGGTGCTACGGCCAGACGGGTTGGGTACTTTCAGACATATATATAATTCCCCCTCCTCTCCCCCTCTCTACATACATCGATCCATCCTCCCTCACCCTCAATTACCCTGTACGTCTCGGGTATTTCGGTCGTTGTATCCTCTCTTCGGTCGTTCCATTCCCAAGGATCTGAATTTCGGGGGTGCCAGAGAACGAAACCTAGCAGAAGCTAAAAGGATCTTTAATAATAATGTCGGGAACACAGGAAAATGGGGCCCAAAAGCCGAAGACAAAAGGATTTCCGGTTCAGCAATTGTTTGTCTTGTGTAAGTTACAAAAAACCCGCGGGATTTGAATTTTTTCTCTGCGCCCATTTCTAACAATAACCAGCATTATGTAGGATATGCGAGCCAATATCGTTCTGCTCAATTTTTCCCTACATCTACTACATGATTAAATCATTCGGAAATGCAGTAGGTCGTCTTTGGATAGTCTCTGAGGTATGGAATACTAATAAACTCATAGAAAACCGACAATGAAATTGCCGTTTACGCGGGGCTAGTCACATCTGCATTCGCCTTTGCTGAGTTCACGACCGGTATGATGTGGGGTAGGATCTCAGATAAATACGGGAGAAAGCCTGTATTGATTATGGGGCTTGTTGGAACCATGCTTAGTATGATTATCTTCGGATTTGCGAAGAGCTTCCCGGTGGCTTTGCTAGCAAGAGCTGTAGGAGGAGCATTAAATGGAAACATTGGTGTTATTCAAACCACCGTTGCAGAGCTGGTAACTGAGAGGGAGCATCAGCCTAAAGCGTATGCAGTTATGCCATTTATCTGGTGTTTAGGGTAAGTTCCTATTTCTAGCGCTACCTATACTTTCTAGCTCATGACTAACGCACAGTCAGTTCTATCATTGGTCCAGCTCTAGGTGGACTTTTGGCCGAACCTGTCACTAGATATCCCAATTGGTTTTCCCCCGGTGGAATCCTCGAAGAATATCCATATCTGTTTCCAAACATGGTTTCGGCAGGAATTCTTGTTATAGGAATCATTATTGGCTCTCTGTTCTTGGAAGAGACCCACCAGGTTTTAAGGGAGAAGCCAGACCGTGGTATAATTGCTGGAAGGAAGATTATTGCTTTCTTTAAACGGAGCAACAACGAAAAAAGCAAGTACGAGGGACTAAATGGATACAATTCCCCACCCAGCGAGTCTGAGAGATTGATTGCACAAGATGGAGGATCAAACGACAATTCAGGCTACGAGACTTTTGATAACTCTGTAGCTCAGGTTAAGAAGGCTATAAAACCTCCATCGGTTGAGAAAGCTTTCACGCCTCCAGTAGTGCTTCTAATTGTCTCATACGGAATTCTTGCCTATCATACTATGGGTTTTGAGCAACTTTTCCCTGTATTCTTGTCCACTCCTCCTGCAGATGAGCCGCCTCACCACCCTTTCAAATTCGTCGGAGGATTCGGTCTTTCGACTCAGGCGATTGGATTCATCCTTTCTATGCAGGGACTTATATCCATGACCGCACAGTTCTTCCTCTTCCCGCCAATTGTTGAGTATTTCGGGTCGTTCAAAGTGTATAGATTCTGTATGCTTGTCTACCCGATCGGATACATCATCGTTCCCTACCTCGACTTTCTCCCAGCAGAATACAGCATGGCCGGTATTTATGCTGTCCTTGTGATCAAAATTATCTTGGGTGTCATGGCATATCCATGCAACGCTATCCTGTTGACGAACTCTGCACCGTCTCTACTGGTCCTCGGTACTATCAATGGCGTTGCAGCTAGTACGGCAAGCATCTTCCGAGCTTTTGGCCCGACTATCACTGGGATAATATATTCGAAGGGTTTGGACTATGGCATTGTTGGGTTAGCATGGTGGGTTAATGCTGCTGTGTGTGTTTTGGGCGGAATCCAAGCGTTGTGGATGGTCGATGGAGCACTCGTTCTCCACCCTGAAGTAGAAGCGGGAGAAATGGATGAAGAGGCCGTGGAACAAATGGCGGTGGATGTACAGATTGCTCATGCAGGAGTCAGTAGTACGGAGGGCTTTGTCAATGAGTATCACATCGTGAAGAAGGCTGCGGAGGACGAAATAGAGCATCATCAGCAAGAGGTAGCTGCTAGCTTCGGTACATCAAGATCATTTGATGCATCAGGATCGTTCATCGCATCGAGGTCATAACATCTATTAGCTTTGCGGGGAATGCCTAAAGATATTGCGAGGGAAAAAGGTAGGCGGGTGAGGGGGAGAAAACGTTCACAGCGCAGGATACCATTTGGGAATCTTATCAAGGGCCTCAAGTTATTTGGGTCTTTTTTTCTTTTGTATTCCTTTACACATTTCAGGGTTTTTATTTTGGGGGGCTTTGGGATTTCGGGATTTTTTATTCGAGTGGGATTTTGTGTGCCAGTAAAGTTTGCATATATCAAGGATTAGTTATGGCTTAAAACGTTATAGCCACACATCAATCACGGGATTTACGGGCCGATTATTGAGGGGCCGAGGGGGGATGGGATCTACGGACCGGGAGGAAGCGGAAGATCGGGACGACATTCATGGGGAGGCGTTAGCATCTCGGAAACCACTTTTCTTTCTTATTTTCATTTTAAATGTGCCATCCAACGTGGGGTATCGTTTTTGTTTTTGTTTCTCCTTATCTTTGGGCTATCTTGGGCATCATTTCATTCTGCGGTCACGTAAAGGGCATTTGTATGTATCTACTTTCTTCTTCTCAATCGAATCTTTAATCGTGCTCAAATATCTCCACATATGTAAAGTGACGCTTTCGGTGTTTATGCAAGTCATCCAAGCAGTGAGATATCCTCCGATTGGAGGGTCATATTCAAAACATTATCACCGTAGTGCGTCTGCAGTCTGTGGAATCACCCGACCTATAGATATTGTCCTATATATGCGGTTACGGCGTTTGGAATGCAGGGTAGTTCAAGTACGCCTTCAGTCTTGGATTCTCACTCGGCTACGGAAGTGCAAGCTTCCGGCGTTTTCCAGGCCTTGAATTCAGTTTGGAATTTAGTATCACTGACCAGTCACAATTGGGATATAAAACTGACAAATCTAGTAAGGATAGTAGGCCGGATCGGCATGTCCAGTCGAGTGATGAACCATGATGCATCGTCTAAATAAAATCCGAATAATTGATTGATAGATAATTATAACTCGTTGATTGTTTGAATTTGAGCCCATTATAGATGGAAAGCATGATCTATGGCTGAGAAGTTTAGTGGGATTGAGAACCTAGTGCCTTGATATACATTACGGCGTTAACAGCTATAGGCCAATGAGTACGTAAACGTACTGTAGTTATATATTCGCTTATATAATTGTTTGATAGATCACACGGTAGATATAATTATTCTAGCTAGATACACCAGCAGAATGTACTTGCAATTGGATCATCGGACTTAAGGGTAATATACGCATGAGCGTTTATATCTTATGACTCCATGATCAACTTTATATACCAAAGCTTAAGCCCTTTATAAGGTATATGCAATTAAGCCGGTACGCGGAGGCGGATTACCGCGTAACTATATCTTTCTCCGCAAATAGATAAAATACGGTAATTACAACTACTAAGTACGTGTAGGGTGTATATACCTATATAGGTACATCATGCATACACGTTCTGTGGTACCACTGGAACATCATAACATTAAAATACGTTATGTACATACACACCTAAATGTACATGCAGCTACCTCATGATCATCAGTCAGACAAAACCAGTCCACCCAACAATAGTTTAAGCTCTTCCAGTATCTGGCTATAGCTAGCCCATGGACTCTACCAGACATATAAATTCATCTTTTAATGCATCTTTTTTTTGTATGGGTGAAGTCGTCTGAAAGTCATACTTTAAATGTGTTACTTTTAATATGCGTGGAAATGCATCAATAATGGATCAAACAGTGAATCTTTTAATGCATTAAAGATACACATTTACTGGTCCTCCACACCGGTAATAAAAACAAAAAGTGAACGTTGGGGGATTTGAACTAGAGTTAATCTCTCAACTACTCAATCCCCTATCCACTACACTCTCTAGGAGCATAAGATAAGTGACTATATCGTTTAACATATAAATGACTATGTGCTTCACCAATAAATGACGATGTCACTTCTTATAAATGACAAAGTCAGATAGAGACTAAATTACTGGGTCTTTTAAAATCGTCATTTATCAAGTCATTTATTTTACTTCTATGTTATTCTACTAGCTACGGTACATTTCTGGTTGCCGTTGCCTACCGCTGCCTGCTGCTCCACCGCTGCCTGCTGCTCCACCGCTGCCTGCTGCTCCACCGCTGCCTGCTGCTCCACCGCTGCCTGCTGCTCCACCGCTGCCTGCTGCTCCACCGCTGCCTGCTGCTCCACCGCTGCTGCTGCTGTCACCGCGTTACTGCTGCTGCCACCATTGCTGCTGCTGCTGCTGCTATTAGCACTGTATATTCTGATGAACACGATGGATTAACTTACCTTAATACTGGTGGTGATGATGACGGTGGTGGTGGTGGTGGTGGTGACGAGGATGGAGAGGTTTCGGAGAGAAGAGGGGGGGGGGGGTACGTATATTTATAGCTAGGGGATCAGAAATAAGGTTTCACTAGCGTAATGCTGAGAATTTCGTCTAAGACCTGTGGTCATTTAGTACCTTTATGCCCTCATTCTGCACGGGCTGGGCAAGAGACTGGTCATTTAGTAAAAAGTGACCAAGCAACCTTGCTAAACCACTTTGTCATCTATTCCTATCCCCTAGAGGTACTATGGGTGAATATGGTATCTTATCAATTGTAGGAGTAATGGATGGAGGTTGATGGAAAAAGTATATTACAATGTCATTGATTGGTCGTCTAAAATGAATACCAAAGTCGTATGTGATCCAAGAGTGTAAAATAAGGACCCATAAGTCGTTCATTAATCGTTTTAAAATCTTAAAAGGATTAAATAATGCATCGGTTGACGTATTTCCAAGTCACCCCCCGAGTAAATGCATCAAATAATGCATCAGGTGATGCATTTACAAATAACGTCCCGAGTTAATGCATCATTTGTGCCCTTTCCTCGTCGGTTTTGTATGGGTAATGTGCAAATTGATGCATTAACATGTCTGGTAGAGGGAGGGCTCCAGTAAAAGTTCGTAACCACAATATATATCTCGTAGCTATATACTGGTTTAAGCGCTTAAGCGGTAAGATGGATATCTAATTAATGGATCTCTGTTTATTTGATTAACATGCCAATTGCAATCTATCTAATACCCTTTTTTGTGTCAATCTACGCGATGGCCTATGGAGTAGGTATATATACATGTATGTAGGGGTGCACACGTGGTACACGATGTTATTGCGGAATCTCGACAGCGCTAGCTTGGGCCCAGGTCAACACCACTGTGCAATGATTAAAATTACAATAATCTCTGTACATAGTTCTAGGCTACCACCACTTAATCGAGCGCTTTATTAAATTAGAATATATAACAATTGCTTGGTTGACCAATTGGGCAACTCTAATATTAGCGGATTTAATCATTGAAGCTTTGGGTAATTGTCCGATGCGATATTCTTGTACCCAGAAAGCAATAAAACTATGATTTAAAAAAAACAAAAAAACGGTAATTGCCCGATTGCATGTACCTACATGCATGCAGTGTGTTGAAATTTGTAATTGGACGTACGCGCGTGGGCCATGGACTACACTACATGTATCTAACCAATTGCAAGCAATCAGTTTGTTTCACACCTGACCGAGCACTGTAGTCAAGACTGCTGTAGCCACGATTAACACTACATGATATAGTAGATATGAATCGTTTCAAATGTATCTAAATCTAGTATCTTGTGTGTTGATTTAAATCACATTGAACCAAATTGAACCAACAAGATAGTAACCATTAAAAACCCCGGATCCCTCTAATCTTGCTTCGAATTAATTATTACTAACTAGGACGTGTGCGTTATTATCAGTTAATGAGACATCATTTAACGTATGATAAACCTTACTGTCTTCAAAGTTGCTATCTTACTACACGTCCTAGTTAAACGACGGACCATGCCATGGCCAGGATATGAATCATGGGACATACCCCCCCCCCCGGGGATTTCCCTCTCTTTTTCTTCTTCTTTTTACCATCAACAACTAGCATATCTTTCATTTTTGAGTGACATTCTGATATGGGCTTATTACCTGTTCTAGAATTCTAAGACGCGCCTTTAGGGCTCGGGGTTAATTATTTTTCGTCCGTCACAGCAAGTCACTCGCCACCCTTGGCGCCACACACGCCACATCGCTCGAATTGCTTTATCTTTATATAAGTGAGTCTTCGTATAATATTAAGAGATGTAATTAATTCCACATTAAAGATGGCCTTGGTATAATCGCATCCTGTGCTGGATCCGTTTTGAACTGGAATGAAGGATTAAATATGCCAAGATTCAGTTTGGTACTCAGTTTCTCGCCAAGAGGCCGATGGGATCGACTTTTTGCAACGCTGACACCTCCCTGTCTATGAGATTTCTACGTCAGCCTCCAGCAAGACCCCAAAGACGACGAACAATCAACTTGTCGGAACAAGTGAGAGATGCCACCAGGACTCCTCGACTCCTCCGAAGACGATTGAATTGGTTTCACGATGGAATGGATCTTAGCGATGACCTTAGAATGGACAACTGAGATGTCCATCGGTATCAGAGATGAGGGGTTCATGTGTGAAGGATAAAATATCAACACTGGCCACTTCTTTCCCAAGCCGTTCTGGCAAGGCGATAGCTCGGAAAAAGTATTTTTTTTTCAGCTGCTTCCGCTATCCTCATCCTCCTCTTCAGATTTCACAGTTTCAGCGAATGGAGCCCAGGAGAGAGAGAGAGAGAGTCAATCATGCCCATCGCCGCATGCCAACTCAACGCGACGGTCGAGCCGAGATAAACTCGAGCAGACTTGTTGCTGAGCCTCAATGAAGGTCCTCTGCAACCTGAAATTAAAAACAGGACCGGACGGATCTCTAATGTCTTTTATGAGATCTTTCGGAAGTTCCACGAAAACTCGTTTTAACTTGTTTTTATTGTTTCTTTCTAACTTCGTTGCGGCTGTGGCTTATCTCGGGTTTGGTATTCTCTCCCCGAGCCGGTCGAACAAAGAGCCCTTCGGCAAAGTGCTTCGACGGCACTGCTCTCCGAGGCGACATTAGTAGTATTAAGGGAATTTACAACTCTGGGCTGTTGAAGAAATCGTTTCGGAACAAAAGTTCTAGAGCTGAGACGGAACACTTATCGGAACGCCGTTGGAACGGCCGACAGTGATTGCCCCTATTCCTACATGTGCCTAAGGTGTTGTTATATGACTTGTGAAAACCAGATGAAGTGAAAGGCACATAGGGGAAAACAGCGCAGTGCTGACAATCATCAAGGTATGATTTCCATGTGGGATCATGTCATTCAAGCAGTGATCGGTGGAGGGCAGATTGCTGCGGGGGTGATTCCCTACACGACAGTTTTGGGGAACGCACTCAATAAGAAACATATTGGTCAGGACATCTAAAGGTAAAGTTTGTCTTATATATTGGACTCTGTGAGGAACGATTTGTGGGATGATGCTTGGGAGTTTTTCTTCTGTGTCTTTTTGTCTTTGTGGGCTGTTCACTTGATTGCGGCAACTCATCAGATAGAAGTGTGCACTCTCCTCTTCCATGGTTGCTGCTCTCAAATAAAAACTATATACATATAAGAGCAGTAATCAGGAAGAGGTAGAGTAGAAGACGGATATAAATTGGGAGGGTTAGTTTTGGTGATGATTGCTGGTGCTATAATTGCTGTGGTCTGGGGGAGCAGCAGAGAAACTCCACGAGCATCCTATCAACAGCGCCAGCGTCACCGACACCAGTACTGTCGGCAGCAGCATCATCATCATACTTACCTTGCCAGCCGGATAGGGAGGAATACATAAAAAAGAAAAGAGGAGGAAGAGGAGGAGCTGAGAGAAGAACCCCGAAAGAGGTAGTTTTTCGAGTTGATCTCACAGGCTTGGCGCAAACCCCCAACCCTCACGTAACAGCGGCAACGAAGGAATCGCAACGCCTCTCCACCACCTCGCTACTCTCATTGCAGCCACAGCTCTATCAGAACAACTGCGATTATCCCCCCCTCAAAGTCCTTCTACCGACAATCGCCTGCACACGAAGGTCATATTGCGACATCGAGCATCCATCTTGCCGAACCCTTGGGTGTCTCTCTAGTATGCCTCCCGTGTGAATTCCTAGAGGAATTCTCAATCGCTAACGAACTTTGTTGTTTCAGGTGGTTCTCACGAACTAAGCTTCGTGACACTCGTGACAATGTCTAAAGCTATGAAGCCTCCTCCAGGCCCAGGTCATCGTGACAGCAACAGAGATATGTGGCGGCCCAAGACCGAAGAATCTGAGAGAGGTAGAGAACGTCAAGACCGTTCTGTTTCAAGAGAGAGAAGACGTTCACCCCCACCGACTGCATCAAGGAGGAGGCATGGTGGAGAACGTGAATCGTACAAAAGCCCCATGAGGAGGGAGTTTGACAAGCCTCCTCAATCATCATCACGGCGAGGAAGGAGTAGAAGCGTGGAAAGCCGACGTTCGACTCGTTATGGGTCAATGTCACCTCCTCGTGCCTCTCGGAACGGACGACATACTGATGCCCCCTCCGAATCCCGTCATTCTACCTCACACCGTCACAAAAGACGGCATCAGTCTAGATCACCGTCTAAACGCAGGAAGAGCCGCTCTCCCGGGCATTCTCACAAAAAAAAGACACGGCGTCCTCGTACGCGATCGCGAAGCCGTTCAGATGCAAGACGTACAAGGAAGGATAACTCACCTTCGCCAAGACCTCGATCACCACAAGGTAAAAAATATTCCCGTCGAGCTCTGTCAACAAGGGATCCCGACCGTAGAGATAGATCAATGTCCTTTTCTCCAAGACGTTCTCCCCCATCTGCTTCGAGGTCGTATCGCAGACGTTCACCTCCGAGGACTCGACCTCCGCCATTGCCTCCAACACGTCGGCCCTCACCACCACCTCTCTCCCCGGGATATCAAAGGCCATCCTCTCGAAAACAATCACCACCACCTCCAAACATGGGCCCTAGAGGTGATAGACGTCCTTTTCGTCGGCGCTCCCGCTCACGTTCACCACGTCGTGGCCCTAGTTCACCGCCACCCTTCAGGCGAGTGCGTTCACCCCAGCGTTCTCCACCACTGTTATCGCCAATGAACAATGGTCGTTCTGCGACACCCCCAATGCTCAACAGGTCTACTCGCGTGAAGCCTTCGCCACGGCCGGAGCGATACCCTGAAGGTGACGATCGAAAGACTAACGTAGACTTAAATATGACCGATGTTTCCTCAGATAAGCTTGATACTCCACCACACCGAGTGGTTTCAATACAAGAACATGGCCCTAGTGTCATTTCGGGACGTGAAATATTGGACAGTGATTCCCGGAAATCAAGCCCCCCTCATGAGTCTCATCATCAAAAACAAGATCATAGTGATACTGATAGCATGTCCCACCCACCACAAGCGGAATCTAGTGCTGGACCATACGTTAATCCTGATCGCCAGAGAAACATATTTTCTGGTGGTAGCAATGAGTTTGGAGGTGGGAGGGGACGAGGACGGCCGCAGGATATGCATCATAATCAAATGTTCACATTCCTTTCACCTTTTGTTTGAAAATGACTGATCCGCTGACACGATTGATAGGCCACCCGCCCATGAGAGCCATGCACAGCAAAAGTATCCTCGCCGTGGGTCTCATGGCTCTACATCTTTCCATGAACAATCTCAACACCACGGCCCATCCCACCAACAAGGACCACCCCATTTTCAGCCGGGATACCGCGGACGTGGACGTGCTTACCGTGGCCGATATTCGCCGCCTTTTGAACAGCGGTCGTCCACATATGATAGGCGCGGTTCTGAGCGTGGGCGTGGTGGTTATCGTGGAAGGGGTGGGTCTGGGCATGACCATGGAGAGTCTGGTAGGGGGGACGCCGTTTTGATCCGCAAGACCAACACCCACCCTCGACGGAAAACAGCCGCCACTCGCAACCTTCATCTCCTGGCAACGATTCTCATCCATCAGCAGTTGAGATTCGGGCCAAAGAGGAGCCCGAAGCGACCCACCAGAACCTTGAGAGTGACGAAATTATGAGAGATGACCCTGGTCATGAAAGTGAGAAGGATCAAGGGAACACCGATATGGCACCGCCAACTGGCCCTGTCCCAAAGAGCCCTCCTCAGCCTCTAGATACTCGTGCGTTTAAACGCATTGGCGGCTCGAACGATGTTCGCAATGCCATCAACCAAGAGGAGAAAACGAGTAATGGGTTTAGGCCCTTCAGTATCTCCCTCGGAAAAAGCAAGGTCGGCCCAAAAACTGCGATGCTTCCGAAAGCTCTTGAGGCCACCCGAGAGAGCGCCCGTGAAACTACTCGGGAAAACCCTAGTGAGAATGCTCGTGAGAATATCCGCGAGAATGTTAGGGAGAGTGTGCGGGAAAATATTCGGGAGAACGTCCGCGATAATTTCCGGGAGAACATCCGTGAAACAGGGCGCGAAATCAGCCGTCAAAGCAATCGTGAGAGTTTCCGCGACCATTTCCGCGACAATGGTCGACATCCCGACCGACATTCCGACCGGGAAAGCGGACGGGACGTTGGTCGTGGGCGAGACACTGGCCGCGATATTGGACGTGGTGGCCGTGATGTCGGACGGGACAACGGTCGCTATCTTGGCCGCGATATCGATCGCAACGCTGGTCGTGAGACCGGGCGCGAAGCCTACAATAATAGTGGCCCGCCAACTTCTGGCTGTAATAGCGCTCCGTTGGGGAAGAATGCCGTAACGCTCAAGCTTGCAGCGAAGAGAGAAGCACCCGTCGTCAATAACGGATCTGATATCCCCAAGCGACAAGTTGAAGTGGTTAAAACCCCCGCTGTGGCCAAACCCATAATCATTGCAAAAGAAACATCTATCTATAATAGGCTTAGTATGGTTGGGGAGGGAACTTATGGGTAATTCATCTTGGCTATTCAAAAAAATTGACATACTAATTAAATCTACAGAAAGGTTTACAAAGCATCAAATAATATCACCAAGGAGTTAGTAGCTCTTAAACGGATCAGAATGGAGAGTGAAAAGGATGGTGTAAGTTTTTCTTTCTATTTATGTACGAGCTATACTAATGGTTTCAGTTCCCCATTACTGCTGTCCGAGAGATGAGGTTATTGCAAGCACTCAAACAAGACAATGTAATATGTCTATTAGAGATGATGGTTGAGAAAAGTATGCTCCTGCCTTTATCCCAAGAGCTTAGTGAGATATTGATGCGCTTTAGGTGATTTCTACATGGTTTTTGAGTACATGGACCATGATCTTACTGGTATTCTGAATCACCCAACTTTCCGGCTAGAGCCTTGCCATATCAAGCACCTTGCAAAGCAATTCTTCGAAGGCCTTGAATATCTTCACCATCGCGGTGTCCTTCATCGGGACATAAAGGGCTCCAATATCCTATTGAATAACGATGGGCAATTAAAGATTGCCGACTTTGGTCTTGCGAGGTTCTACACTAAGGCAAGTAAGAAGCAATTAGATTATACCAACCGAATTATCACACTTTGGTATCGCCCACCAGAGATTCTTCTAGGCGCTACAGCCTATGGTCCGGCCGTTGATATCTGGAGCGCTGGCTGCGTATTTATCGAACTCTTCACACGTCTGCCTGTTTTCACTGGCAAAAATGAGATCGATCAATTAGATATTATTTACAACGTTATGGGGACACCTTCAGAAAGGATTTGGGCAGGATTGAAGGAGACTCCCTGGTACGGACTGTTGAAAACGCCTGCAAGAAGGAGACCGAAATTCAGAGCAAAATACGAACCGTATGTTTAATCCAACTGCCACTATATAACCATTGCTAACGAATCTCTTTTATTCAAGGCTTCTGCCAGAGTCTGCGCTAGAGCTTGTGACGCAGATGCTTGAGTATGATCCTGATAAAAGACCCACTGCCGAGGATTGCCTAAAGCATCGATATTTCTCAGAGGAGCCTGCTCCTGCTCCTCCACTAGGGTATATTGTCTAATAAACTTCCTGGGTTGATCTTCGGTTTTTCTAACAGTACTTTGTTTTTTTTGCAGGCTCCGCGATCTGAAAGGGGATTGGCACGAGTACGAATCAAAAATTGAGCGTCGTAAAGAGCGTGAAATTAATGACAAGAAAAAGCGAGCTCAGCATGAATTGGAGAAGAAGAAATGGAGGGAAACCCGCGAGGCAGAGAAGAGAAAACTTGCACAACAGGAATACGATCCTGAGAGACCACCAATTAGCGATTCCACTCCAACAAATTCCTCTGTCCCAGTTAAACGGAAGCGCGACTCTTTGGATGCGGATGATCTCGCATCCGGAACCAGCTCTGCTTCCAAGAAACGGGCAGAGTGACGCATTCACGGCGGCAATTCGAGTTACATCTATCACTTCAGGATTTATGAATGCGAGAGATTGTTAGAAACGTAGGGTTAGATATGTGGCCTTTTGATTCTGATGAACACTGATGTTTTCTTTTTCTTTTCACAAAAAAATTGGGGGGAAACGAGGCGTTTGGCATTTGCTTTTCTTTTGCTGAGGTATCATTTATTTTTTTTGTTCTTCCTTTATTCTCTTTCTCTGCGCAACTGATCTTGGTAGTATCGATATCTATCTTGTTGTTGCACAAAAATTATGTCTCATTAGTTTACACGCTTTGATAACCAATTCCTCCTCTCTTCATAGTGCTTGCTTTTTTTCTTTTTTTCTTTTCTTATTCTTCCCCGCGTCTTCTTTTTTTGTTCATTTTTCTTTCTGAGCCATAGAGACAAGGATCGTTTCTGCATTTCTTTCTGTCTCTTGCATCATCGTACCTCTTTGTATCTTACTTTCATCTCCCCTTCTCCGCCCTCCTCCTACCCGCCAATCTTGGTTTTGAGATCGAGTTGTCCACCGCCCATGGTAGTGACAGCTAATCTCTATCAATCATTGGTTGCCTTTTCTTCTCCTTTTTTTCTTCCTTTTATTGCTATCGTAATAGTAGTAAACTTTGAGGGTGCTGCTAGGTATACTATAATTTGAATGTAGGAAATGACTTGATTGTGTGTGTGTGGAGGGGGAGAGGGTGGAGGGGGAGAGGGTGGATAAATAGGGGTAATTTGAAAATAAAAATAAAGAAAGGGTTTGACAGAAATGATTTTTTTAGTGCGTACTGTCTATAGAGCGGTGGCATTACTGGAAGTTGTAGATGAAAGATCATGTATAGATAGACCAACACGAGTGGGGAGGGTAATGATTGTTGAGACACAAATATGATGAGCCTGACTAGCAATGATTTCTGCAACAACTTTTTATCGAACCCCACGTGTGCAGTCACAAACAGGGCTGCCGCGGATCCCCCTTTTCTTTTCTTTTCTTTCATAATGCAATCATTTAATATACATGTAGTTATAGGGTGTAATATAGCTACATCTATAGATGTATTTTTAGTTGTCCCTGAGACAATCATTACTAGTATAATGCTGTATGTACTTTTAAGTATCTACTGTACATCTGTCTGCACCGCATCTAGCCCTCGCCCAACCTCAAATCTTAGCAGCTGTAGCCGCGACCTCCGAGGACGGGAGATGGAATCCATTGGCGACCGCCAACATGAGCTGATGCGCAATCGCCGTAGCCGGCGGAAGTCTCAAATCACCCTATTTAATCGTACCACCCTCTGTCAGCCCAGCCCAGCCCCCACACTACCCACTACCCAGTCTTATAGATCACACCACTCCCCCACAACCAGCCTTGGAAAGGAAAAAAAACATACCTCCTTATACCCCTCCGGGGGTGCATCATGAAGCCCATTCTGCGGCGCCTCCAGCGCAGCCTTGACTTTTTCGATGGGGAACCACTGGGCGTCCTGGAGCTCGGGGTCGTGGTTGAGCTCGATCTTCTCGCCGTCGGGCAGGGCCTCGCCGACGGCGCCGATCATGAGGTTGTTTGGGTAGGGCCATGGCTGGGTGGAGTGTATTACGACGCGGCCAACGCGGACGCCGGACTCTTCCCAGGTCTCGCGGCGGACGGCTTCTTCGAGCGACTCGGCGGGCTCGCAGAAGCCGGCGAGGGTGCTGTAGAAGTTGGGGGGCCAGCGGCGCTGGCGGCCGAGGAGGAGGTGCGTCCCGGCGGCGTTGAGGATCGCCATGATTACGGTGGGGTCTGGGGGGTGTTAGTGGGGCATGCAGGGGAGGGTGGGATGAGGGGGTTTGGTACCGGTTCGGGGGAACTGGAGAGGTTAGCTTTTGGGCTTGTTGGGAGGGATAGAAGGAGTGCTTACAGCAATGTTGTGGACCCCCTTTCGGGAGACACAGGGCGGGCGTTCGAATGACGCATCGTTTGGAGACTTTTGGAACGCCTTGTCGAATGGAGGACATGTCCTCTTCGTTCCAGCATGGACCGAGATTGTACGTCCTCCGCACGCAGCACAGAACTGGTTGCGGCTGTTCCAGTCCATCAAGCTTCTTGCGTGCGCCAGAATCGCGGCTAAGTTAAAGTCATATCAGCACTAGAAACTCTCTCCTCTCTCTCTTCTCTCTCAGGAGTCCATACCATCACCTGGAACCAAACTCAAGTCGATCCTAACTTTACGGAACTCATATCCGGGTTCCTTTACCGCCTCCTCTGCAACCTTCTCAAGCTTCTCCTTCAATTCCCCTTCCTTAGGACTAACATCCAGTGCAAAGAAGGGCTGCCCCTTGTAGTTTCCACCGGCGCCACTGTACTCGAACGTTGAGTCCGTGGCTTTCTCATCGAGACCGAGGAATATGAGTGTTGGCGCACTAACCCGGGAGTCAAAGGCCTCGATGGTCTTTTCTTCGTCGAGATCATATGGCTTCCCGATCAGGGAGGAAACGGAGTCGTATTTGACCCATCCGAGGTTTGTTTTTGAGGATGCGAGGGGGTCGAGGCCGCGGAGGAGGAGGAAGCGGGATGCGGGGAGGGCGGCACGGAGGAAGGAGGTGTTGGAGCGGAGGAAAGAGACCCGGTTAAGGGAGAGCCTGTGGGGTGTTAGCAATGCCTTAGGGAGTAAAAGGAAACAGAAGCTGTGTACCAGAGAAGTAGTTGACGACTTCGCGGCCGAATTTGCGGGAGAGCATGGAGTCGGGATACTCTGCGCCTTCAGAGCTGTAAGGTGGTGCTTCCATTGCTTACTATAGAGGTGAGGTATGTAGTTGGTAATGGGTGAACGATAAATAGGGTTTAGATGCAGTCTCTCTCTCGTTCACTCGCTCAAGGTATTATTGAATGAAGACAGTGGGGATTATCTGCTCCACAGGAGTTTATGGAGGAGGAAATATGTCGTGAATTTCGTCGACTAATCCACGACCTAGGGTCCATGCTGGCTCCTCCCCAGGCACCGGAGGAGATAGGAATAGTCTATGATGCGATTTCTCCATTTCTCAGCATGCCAACCTCGGGAGAAAAATATGCATTTCTAATCCACCCATCCCATACGTCTTGTTCCACCGCAGCGGTGATACTCGGTAACCCCGCCGCCAGACCTCGCTTATCGCCGTGTCACGTGGAAGGAAGGCCATCTGCTTCATGGACGAGCACTCGGAGGACCCTGTGGCTTGGCGCTAACATCCCTTGGGGATTGCAGGGCCTTGAGATTTTGGCTGTAAATTGCGATGGTTTGAATTCTCCTGTCGAGCATGAAGAACGGGCAATTAGTCGCTTATTCGCGAAAAGGATCGAGCCTATGATTACGACGGAAGCAGTGCGGTCCACAAGGGCACTCAAGGCAAGGTTTGGGATTATCCTCGAGGAGCCTTGTCCTCGCGATCGTTGACATTTTTGTCCTTATCTGCCCTCAAAGTCTGGATACACGTACCTGCTCAGGTATAATGTGACAGTGTTTTTGAGAAGACCCCCTCCAGTATATAGACTGTCAGACTCGTCTACACTAGGGTCGGAGATACTACATATACCAATTACATATCTAGACAATTAGTAATGATGGCTGAAGGAGCTAGTTCATGAGTAAGCTGACTTGTAAAAGCTGGTCGAACCAAGTCCGCTTCTTGGTGTGTCTTTTCCCCGTCCCCTAGCCCTTCAATCATCTCTACCGGCAGTTTTCCCACCCGAGTATACACATATTGAACAATTAGAAAATTAGACATAAAATAATACAATCTAGAGACAGGAGACTCGGCCCGGGAGAGAAGCCTACAAGTTAGGAATAGTCGGAATAATTTGCCAGCGCTCGGGATCTAATTAAAAAGGCTCCCCAGGGTCTCGGAATAAAGTGTCGGAACCTCGTTTTATATTCAGTATCTGCTGCGAATATCTGGCACGTTCCCTTGTTTTTCGGCACAGTTCGTGGTAGTAGATTGTAGACTTCGAAAGAGTAAAAGCGGAAAGAAGTAAACGGGAAGTTTTTTAAAGGTTCCGCCAAGTAGTCCCTCTCTGCAAAACAAGACGCCATACACTGGCGACTTTCTTCTTGATTGTCAGTTTGCACAGGAGTAAAGGTAGATCCAGAGAGTTGCGTCTGTAAACCCAGTCGTAGAGTAAACATTGCAGTTGCAAGAGGGAACTCGTGACCTGGTATCAATGACGGAGTCAGTTAGCAGAACAAGCTCGACAGACCGAGCTAGCTCCTCAATGATCTTTGTTCCTACGCTAATGTGCGAGTATTGGAAGCTGGTGGGCTAGGGTTCGGGATCTTTGTCGGGGTGGCATGGCGGGTTATTGCCCTGGGCAATGGTCCTGTTCCTCTACACTACTCATAAGGAGTTCCTCTTCTGCAGTACGGCATACATGACTGTTACGTATGCTGCAACTGTGGCCTAACAGCCTGTCCTCAATCATGTCGGATAAAGCTAGAAACTCTGGTATTCCTGTTAATACACCGTCTTCTCTCTTCTCATCCAATAGTTTGGTCACGTTACAGCCATTAGAACAAACGACGCCTTAATTACAATACCTGGAACTGCGTGTGATTTCTACCGAGCTTTCTGCGGGCGTATCTTTGTCTGTGGGAGACAGATAAATTGATTGAATTTGCAATGGTGTGCGGTTAGGAGACGGCCATCCTATTAAGGTGTGTGTAAAGGCTCGACACAAAAGATCAATTACTCTGGTGGGCACTATTACTATTATTATTAATATCACCCATTGCGGCTAGCGCCAGTGCGGCTCTTCTCGTGCAAGCTTACCGTGCAGCAGCTAAGCTACTTCCGTTCTGTTCTGCAGCAGGGTTACTCAATCTTTTTTTCCCTTCGCAACACAAAATACCTATCGTCCCAGTCAAGCAGCACAGCACACACACACAAAAAGACACACACCACATATCCACAGAATGCCTTCATCTACACAAAATATAGATCAGCGAAGGGTACGATAACTCCATGCTCCCACCCCCCCCCCCCCCCCCCAAACACACACACGCATATACATACTGAGAGCTAACTCACCCCACCAGGTCGTCGGCGTCGAGGCCGAAATCGTCACAAATGTCACCTCCACTGACTTTCCCGGGCACTGGCCGAATGAGGACCACTCCTGGGACATCAACAAGTTCAAGCAGGTATGTACCTCTCTCCTCTCTCCTCCTGCTAAGGTCATGTCTCCGGCTAACACTCCCGCAGTCCTTCAAAGTCGTCTTCCACAAGAACAGCCCACTCTTCGCCGAGTTCGACCTGATTCACATTGACGCCTCAATCGCAAACACATTCCGTCGGATCCTGCTCGCAGAGGTGGCGACGCTAGCAATTGAGACCGTCTATGTATCCAACAACACAAGCATCATCCAGGACGAGGTGCTGTCCCACAGGTTGGGCTTAATACCCTTGACGGGCGACAAAGCGGCATTACGAGCTATGAAGTGGTACACCAGTACGTCACCCCACCCCACCCCACCCCACCCCACCCCCCACCCCATTAACACACCCTGCAGAAGCCGCCCCCGGAGAAGCCGCCCGTTACCCCACCGACGAAGACACCATCGTCCTCCACCTCCGCGCTGCCTGCGAACGCCTCCCCGGCGCCAAAAAATCCGAAACCGACCCCGACAAGCTCTACAAGAACCACTCCGTGCACGCCCGCGACCTCATCTTCGAGCCCGCCGGCAAACAAGTCCAGACCTTTGCGGCCAACCCCGTGCGCGCCGCAAACCCCGACATCCTCATCGCCAAGCTGAGGCCAGGCCAGGAGATCGATGTAACCATGCACTGCGTCAAGGGCATTGGGCAGGACCACGCCAAGTTCTCGCCTGTAGCGACGGCGTCATATCGATTGCTGCCGCTGATCAAGATCAAGAAGCCGATCCTGGGGCGGGCGGCGGAGAGGTTTGCCGCGTGTTTTCCGAAGGGGGTTATTGCGTTTGAGGCGGATCCGAACACGGGGGAGAAAATGGCTGTGGTTGGGAATGCAAGGAATGATACGGTGAGTAGGGAGGTGCTGAGACATGAGGAGTTTAAGGGCTTTGTAGAATTGGGGAGGGTTAGGGATCACTTTATCTGTATGTCTACCTATACCCCTTCTGTCTGTTTGTGAGTGCTTGTATGCTGATGTTGGCGGCAGTCTCTATCGAGTCCTCGGGCCAATTCGACGCGGACGAGCTGTTCCTGTCGGCAGTGGCCACGCTGAAGGCGAAGTGCACATACCTTAAGCGCGACACGCACAGAATGCTGAAGAAGCAGGCACTCGATGCCCGCAGCGGGAGGGATCAGAGTAGACTAAAGCGTGGTGACCGGGGCTGGATGGAGTAATTAACTAGGTGTATGAGGCGGGGAAAGAACAATTTGTAGATAGATATAGTTATTGATTTTCTTTGTTGTTCAATGAATTAAATTCTGTCATGTGACGGACATGTTTCACCAGTGATCACTCGGCACTAGGACAGCCATAATACCTAAAGATAGAAGACAAGAAAAAGAGATGAAACCGATCCGGCGTAGTGGGTGGTGGGGACGGGTTGGTTTCAGTGTCGAGTGATACTTTGTGATTATTACGCACATCTTATGTAGTTTCGACTTCTCAGATAAATCAAACAATAGCTGATGGCGTGGGCCTTATAACTCCCGAGTGTATTACCCCCCTCCTTTTGAAAAGGGCTTATTGCTACAGGGCTAGAGGGCTTATACTCCCTCCTCTCTTGGTAGCCCACTGCCTGCAATCAGTCCTCTCCCAGTCCTATTTCCAATCTTCAATGTTACCGAAGTCCCGCCGATCACCACACAACACCAATCCACACAGCACGGGATGACACAAGACGACACATTCGCCAATTTCAACTTTCAAGTGATAATAATCATACCGCTGCATCACAATCCATCACTCACCTCCCACATACGCCTACATCACCCATGAAAAACCCAATAGATCCATATCACCAAGATCAAAGAAAGAGAGAAAAAAGAGTGGTATAAATGCCCATCTGTATATAACCAGCCTCCCCAAACCCCCTCCCTTTCCTTTCGTAAAAGATAGAACAGAACAGAACCCACAACAAAGATCATAGACTACTAGATACAAGTATCGTATATAATAATACCGCCAACTTTCCCTCCTCCTCCCCTTCTTACTTAAAGGAATGAGACAGACAAGGGGGTATGGAAGGGGGGAGGGGATTTTTTTGCAAAACTATTATTCCCCCCGTGTAGCCCCCTCAGGTTGTTTAATACATTGTTTTTTTTCTCTTTCTTTCTGCACTGAGCGGGGGCGAAGGGAAGAGAAGTAACGTAAAGAATAAAAAGTGAAAAGGAAAAGGGAAAGGAAAAAAGAAACGAAACACAAACGCGCGCGCAGAAGAGGTATTTTTGGCTTGTTTAATGTTGATGTACCTGAACTGATTTTGCTTCCCCATTTTCCATCGCTATCGGATATCCCACCCTGATGACCCATACAGCAATCCAAAAACAGGAAACAAAACATTGGACAAAGCCCTCGCCACCAGTCTGTTATCCGCTTATACCCCGACTGCTCACAACCTTCATGCCCCATCAAGCACAAGTGCTATCCATCCTTACAAGCTAAGCATTATTCGTTACGTTTGACGTCTCTTGGAGTCTAATTTAACCTCTGTCCCCCCTCCAAGGAAATTAGCCTTTTTCCCGCTTCACCGGACTCGAAACATGGTGGGACCAAAAAAAACTTACATGCTGATTCTCCTGGCAACTCTGTTCAACTCTTTATCGTTGTCGGCCTCTCTGACTGCAGTCCTCATGGCCTCTTCCTTGGCCTCTTTTCCTCTCTTCTCGACTTCCTCGTGACTCGGTGGCAATCTCTCGTTTTGCAGATCGACCTTCCTTGCCTCCTCGAAAGACGTAATGGCCTCCTTGATACCCTCAGCACCGAGCATAAGCATTCCAGCGGGTAGCCTGCCACCCGTTGCGGTCTTGAGTTCAGTAACACGCTCCGACTCTTCTCGCAAGACCTGGAACACACGCGACAGACGACCGATGGCGAGAATCTTGTTCTTGATGGCACGGCGCTTGGCGTCTGGGCTGTTGGGATCCAGATCGACCTCGAGAGATGGTGACATGGGGTCTGTTCCAGTCGGTGAGAGTGAATCGTCTTCGAGCTCTTCCTTGGAGCAAGTGTTGAGGATGGCGATAAGCATATCAGTGACTAAGCGATTGCGGTCTGTCAGCTAACAGTTACTTGAACAGTCAAGTAGGTATACAAACTCTTCTCGCCGACGAACGGAAGTGACCAGGTAAACACATCCATAAAGTTTGGTAGCCAGTAAGGATGTGGTGTGCAGTCTAAGTCAACTCGGTCAGTCCCTGTATACTTATTCTCGCTCGCCACATCTTAAAAAACTTACTAAACTGCCTAATGTTCATAACGTTGTTCTCGTATTTTAACACGGCTGCCTTGTTGTTATACACATCCAAGTAATTGGGCGCGGAAAAGATAGTCATAACACTGGGGAAACCAGTCGTTTTGGTCTTCCTGTACATCCTGTAACCTGCATCCTGCGCTTCGTGGGCACGAATGACAGAAAGTAGGTTGTTCTTTTCGAGGAACGAGCATGCGGCGGGGTATGAGAAAAAGTACGAGCAACCGCGGACGTTGTTGTGGATGAAGAAATCCGAGGTCTTTTCTTGGCCGAACTCCTCAAGTGGATCCGCCCAAAGGATATCGCACATTAAACCGTGGGTAGGAGGTTCGCGGAAGCGATCAATCTAGTCAAGCTTATTAGAACCGAAGATTCGTACACGGAGCGCAGCAACATATGAATGAGCGACATACACTTCGGAGGTCGTCAAGTGTCTGCAGCTCGGGACTCAGTCCACCGTGGATACACAAGAACTGCTTGTTCATGACGGCAGCTAAGGGCAAAGCGCAGAAACTGTCCATACAAGCTTCATACACACGTTCGGAATATTTGTGCTTGCCTATGATTCCCAAAACCGGATTAGATCAGGGTCTATCTCAAGACTGGGATAGAGAGAGGGTAAAAAAGATCCAATTCATATAGAATCAAAGACATACATTCCAACTTGAACGTAAAGTAGTCGGTCAAATGTCTGCACTCGTGGTTTCCTCTCAGAAGCCAAAGGGTGTTCGGATAGTGGATTTTCAAAGACCATAGGTACAAAACACACTGTGGCGAAAGCTTCTTAGCGGGTATTCACCTCCAACGAAGGGGTGGGGGTTTCCGGACGGGTTTTGATAACATACCTCAATACTGAAATACCCTCGATCCACATAGTCTCCCAAGAACAGATACCTGGTCTCCTCCGGGTTGCCACCAACCTCAAACAATTTCATCAGATCGTAATACTGCCCGTGGACATCACCGCATACGGTGATGGGAGCATCCATCTCGAGGAGATTGGGCTCGGTCTTGAGGACCTCAGTGCATCGTGACAAGATGAAGAGAGCTTGCTCTTCAGTCAGACGCCCTTCACGGTAGAAATGCTGTTTGAGGAATGTGAGGTTGGGCTTGGTTGGGTCGTTAGGGTCGTAGAATTGGTCATCGCGAGGCTTGTGGAAAGCAGGAGCTTGCACATCTAAACAGACGATGAAAACAAGACGATTAGCATTCTGTCATTGGATACACATTGGCCAGAGGAGATTGCTATATGAGACGTAGGGGCTGGACATCAAGGGGTGAGTGATGAAATCACAGCCAGCAAGTATCTCATCAGATACCCTCAGCTTTTGGGGCCTCAGATAATGGAAAATGGGCATCTTGAAGGTCCGCCAAAAGACCGGTATATAGATGGATAATGCATCTTCCAGCTAGACCCATGATGGTTCCCAGTTTTTTCCCAGCACCTGTACACACGCACACATACACAAAAGCTCAATACGACATACCTTTGCACACTCGCTCCAGGGTCGACACCTGGGTTCCATCCTCCATGGTATGCAGGGTGAAATCGATCTCTGGTATCGGCTTCTTCTCGCTGACAGCGCGGATGGCATTCTCGAGCTTCACGTTCACTACGGGAGAATTGGGGTCGGCCATTGTGACGGGTTGATTTGAGTTGGAGATCGGAAGGGTATACGGAGGAAGGAGGAGGAGGAGAAAGGGAGAAAGGGAGGCGTCGCTAAGCACGGGCAACAAAAGTGAAATCCTCCAAGTGTCGTAGGATTCAGCAAACTCCTAGAGGATGCAGAGATGAACGGTGGTGGAGGTGATGTGATGGGTTAGGTGGCGGGATTGGGGGGGACGGGATGGATGGTGGTGATGGATTGGGGGTGATGGATGTTGTTGGGTTGGGCTGGACTGGACCCGTGAACGGAGACGACGACGGGAGAGAGAGGGGTGGTGGTGGGATGAGCGGGGTTGTAAATATGTAACTTATGCAATGGGGAATTATTTCCTTCGGATTTTCTCTCTTCCTGTCTTTCTTGCTCACCCTCTGTGCTTCCTTGATTCTACTGGGGGAGAGGATAGAAAATAATATAGAAAGGATCGCTAGTCAAATAGAGGAGCGAATGTTCGCAAGAAAATCCTAAGCTCTTTTTTTTGCGCACAGAGACAGGCGGGGTAGTAGGGTAGTATGCACTTCTATGTATGCGTCTAGGTTGTTGCTGTTGGCCGGGGGTGGTGGGATATCTGGTAAGGATAAAGGGGCGAGATTGAGCAACGGGAAAGGAGAGAGCAAATGGGGTCAATTGATGCTTGGTGCTCTATTGTAGCGGGTGTTGGAGCTGCTGGCTGACCTGGTGGAGGTGCTGGTGACAATTGTTGGTGGTTATGCTACATGCTACTACTTGCCTACATGTATGTACCTACTCGGCCCAATATGATGGCTCTGATACATGGAGAGTAGCTCACGGGCTCCAAGTTCAGGGGGACGAGATTGCTTTACAAGCAGACTAGGGCAAAGAGAGTATGCGTAAACCATGAAAGGCAGCAAGTGCACGAGCAGGCAGCGATAAGAAATTGGAATAATAATCATCTAGGCAGCTTCTTGTATGAATTGGGATCGATTTCTCTACTGTTGTAAGTGACTAACCGACAGAAGCATGGAGTATTGAATGTGGTCAGAGCTCTCGTGGCAAAGAAGGGTCCTGCCGAACGAAGCTTGGGGAAAAAAGGGTTTGAGGAGGAGAAAAAAGGAAAAGTCCAGGGACAACCACCACCACCACACACACACCCTCCACCATCTCCACCACAATGAGCAACTCCCTGACCGAAAAAACAAAGTGCCGACGAGCAGCTTCCTTCGCCGCCCCCGCACGCGCACGCGATGTGAACCCTATCTCTGGTAGAGAATAACCAACAGACAGATATGGGGCGCTGTGTATGGCCCGAATTAAACATCGATAGCTACAAACCCTGGAGTAGGGCTGAACTCCGAGTTTCACAGAGAATCATCATGCATGAGCATGAGAACATTATATGCGAACAACGCGCCCGAACGGCCAGTTGGAATATTGCGATGTCTACTACATACATGTTCTAGATACCGGGGATATAGTTGCACAGTAATCATTGCTTAAATTGCTCACCGGCATACCGTTTGGGAATCGTTTGTCATGCTGAGCTTGGAGGGGGATGGATATATTGCACTGGGAAGGAGTACTTTGAGCAGTTTCTTTGAGCTGAGGTGATTTCAGCTCAATTGCTGTTGAGGACTACCTCTAGCTACCAAGCTGTTAGCTATGGCTGCCTGCTGCTTGCTGCTTGAAACTCGACTCGCATAGCTAGCAGAGAGATAAACGGTTCTGATACCGAGCAAGCTTCACCTCTACCACAAGTTCTGCGTGGATGCCAATGACCTGTTGCATCAACAGTGTGTCTACAGCCAACAGAGCAGACTCGCAGAGAGAGCATTGATTGCATCCTCGAACAAACCACAATAAGCTCTCTCTCACTTTTATCTGCAACTGCACAATCAATACCCCAGCCAAACGGGCCCTAACCCACACGTCACGTGAGAACTCTCGCTTGGCACACGGACCGCGTTTGCCAGCCCTGAGCCCTACTCGGCCAGGGATGCTCAGCGGCTCTTGTCGGGGCCTCTGATTCCTCCTCTCCCGCCGAAACACCCCCCATCGCACGCATAGAAACATCTCCACCACCTCCTCCTCCAGGTCAATGTCTGGCTCACACACACCGTCCACCGAGCCAGCAGCACAAGCTGAAGCTGGCTCCAAGGCCCCCTCCTCCTCACCAACCCCCTCGTCCCCCGAGCCCCTCGCCGCCGCTGCGGCCGTAGATAGTAATGATACCACCACTACCACCTCCATAACCAACGAGCCCGATAAGGCCTCCCAAGCCGCCGCCATCGCCGCTCAGCAAACCTCGCGCGAAAGCAGCCGCGAGGAAGGCGAAGAAGACTCCTCCGAAGAAGGCGAGGAGCCCGAGCCCCCCCAGAAGCCACCAGCTCGCAGCCCCCACTGCCCCCCGAAGCCCCCCCGACAGATCCGGCGGCGGCGGTGGAGGAGGACAACGACGGCTGGCAGCCCATCTGGGACGACACCTACCAGGCATACTACTTCTACAACTCGCACACCAACGAGACGACGTGGACAAACCCGCGCGTGCCGGAGGCGACGACGCTGCCGGCGACGGCTGGCGTTGTTGTCCAGGGCGGCGACCCGCCCCTGCCGCTCGAGGACGAGCCGGACCCAAATCTGACATACAACCCGGCCATCCACGGCGATTACGACCCCACGGCCCCGTATGCGCAGGTGCAGAACGCCGGCGCGCAGGGGGCCGACGAGTATGTGGCGCGTGGGGCGTTCAATCGCTTCACGGGTAAATTCCAGCCGGCGGCGTCGAGGCGCGTGCCAGAGAACTATAATGACGAGAACAAGTCGCGGCGGCAGATGGAGTTCTATTTCGATGTTGATGCGGCGGCGAGCACGCATGATGGACGCAGCCTGAAGGCGGAGAGGCAGACGAGGAAGCTGTCGAGGAAGGAGGTGAGGGAGTTTCAGGAGAAGCGAAAGGCCAGGAAGGAAGAGAAGCGGAAGGCGTGGTTGAGAGACTAATTCGACGGGTTTTTATTTTACACACGAAAATTCGACGCTTTTTTTTTTTGATTTGGCGGCAGATTGGGGGGGAGAGAGAGAGCATCATCATCAACTGTCGACTCGAAACTCTATAACGTGGCATTGGGCTGGTTTTTCGGCGTTTGTTTTTTATATTTCTTCTTTTTATGTCAAGTAAATCTATTTCTTGTGGGGGTTGCGGGTCTTTGATAAGTCGTTTTTTACCCTTCTTTTTTTTTATCACTTTGAGTGACTATTTCCGCCTGCGCTCTACTACCACTACTACCACTACTACTAAATAGCTTATTGCGGTATATTACATGCAGTATACCAGCAAGCTACATGTTATCCTGTTTTACGTTTTGCGTCTTGTGTTTTACCAACTGCATATAAATTGCCGGGAAAGGAAGTGTTGTCGAGGAATATTGAAAGAAAGAGAGAGAAAAAGAAAGGAAACGAGGTTAGCTCACAGTCCATTATAATGTAGTTATGTATTCAATTAGACGGAGGAAAGATCGTTATAATGGCTTATCTCAGTTGCAATGATATCTTACGTTATACAGAATCAACAACTGATATATCACGATAAGAGTTCATGGGATTGGAACCGGTCAGGTGTAATATATTCCTGGACACTGATCATGATCGTGTTACACTGGGTAGAGATTTAGTTGTGATACAGCCCTCCTCCACGATACGCACCCAGCAATCCTGCACATCTACTATAGTACCAAGTACCCCAAGTAAGCGCCGCAACCGCACCGCACCCCATTACCCGGCCCGCCCTCGTTATACGCTCGTCTCCAATACCAATACCAACACCAGCCCAGTCGCAGCCGTTGCCGCCCCACCCCAAAAACTTTGTTTCCACTCCCTACCCCGCCAAAACAACCCCCACCCCCACCACCACACCACCAAACACCCACAAAAATGGCAACGCTCTCCGAAGACCTAGTCGACGACATCCTCTACTTTGCGCGCGCCGGCGAGACCGCCGACCTCGCCACAACCCTCAAGTCCCTCACCGCCGACCCCACCACCACATTCACATCCGCCGCACAGGTGCTCGAGCTCGCGCTCGACGAGCACTCGGGCAACAATGCGCTGCACATGGCCGCCGGGAACGGGCATTTCGGTACGTTCCCCCTGCTTTTCTCGGTGGAATTGGCCCTAGCTAACGTATAGTGTGGTATAGACATCGTCAAAGAGATCCTCTCACACCTGCCCACGCCCGCCAACCAGCACGCGCCGCCGCACGCCGTCGTCGCGCACAAGAACGCCGCCGGCAACACGCCGCTGCACTGGGCGGCGCTGAACGGGCATGTCAAGATCGTCGAGGCGCTTGTGGTGGTTGCGAATGCGGACCCGACGGTGGTGAATAGTGCGGGGCATGATCCGGTGTATGAGGCGGAACTGAACGAGAAGATGGAGGTGGTCGAGTGGATATTGGGCAACTGCGAGGGGCTGCAGGAGGGGATTGGGGGTGAGGCGGGGGAGGGGGAGGGGGAGGGAGAGGGAGAGAAGGAGGGCGGGGAGGGGAGTAAGGGTAAGGGTAAGGGGGTGAATGGGAATGGGAATGGGGCGCAGGATATCCAGGAGGGTGTGGAGAGGCTGGACCTGTATAAAGGCGACAGTCGGGAGGCGTAGATAGTGGGGTTATATAAGGAGGGGAATTGTAAGATAATATATAGTGGCGTAGCTTTTTTTCGATTGTCCTTCTCTTCTTATTTTCTTCTTTTTTTAGAAAGTTTCCTGGTGGGTAGAGAAAAAAATATTCAGAGCTCTTTTTCCATGTAAATAATTCGGTCTGCATCATGTTTTATCACTCGCATAATTGGCGGCACGTGAAGCTGCTTGGTGACCAATGGCCGCGCGCGTCTCTGGAAACACTGCCTGAGTGTGAGAGGTGGAGTGCACTCGGCGGCCGGCCTAGCTATATTATAGTCGCCGTCACAGCAGGACATCGAGACTGACAGGCCGCAGATGGTAGAATGCGGGCGCGCTGAGACTGGATGCCGATAAGTGCTTGTAGCTATGCGGTTCGAAAAGCATCAGTGTTGTGGGATGCGGGTTGGAGTGATGGAGTGATGGGTGGATCCGATGGGTGCAGACCATACCCATGAGCCGGAATTGGCGGTGGCTCTAGATCTATCATCTTATCTGTAACTATCCGTAACCACTTTGCAATGGTGAGGGAAGTGAATTCGAAGGGAGTATAGGAAAACGGTTGGGCTCGTGTCCCCTCTGTTGGAGATGCCCTCCTCCTCCTAAAGTTGGATTCAGGTTCGTCGTGCGGCCTTGACGTTTACTCTGATAGTAAGGTTGGCTGCATTAACTGTGGTCCCCAATTCAATCTAATAGTCACTCCCCACGATCATCTCACTCAGGCGCCTGTGGGAGGTGAGGGTAAAGGGTTATATCATATCGTGCCATGGAAATGGGATGTAAAGGTGCTGTTATGTACGCTGACAAGACACCGGAAACGAACCTTTGCTGGTTTTATGGTGGAGCGGGGTGGTTCCAATGCGAGTGTAGTCATGTATTATCACTCGGATAAAAGATACGCCTTGCAGCCTGCGCCAACTGGTCGGGGAGAAAGGAATACATGCGACAGTTCGCGAGGTGAGCTTTTCTTCGTCGGACCTTTGTCAAAAACATCTCTCCTGCCGCATAAGAGAACAATGACTGTATTGTAGAGCACTTAATCGATCGGAAGAGCTAGAGCTCTATCATGCCAGCTTATGCCCCAAGACTGTTTAGATTCGTATATGCGTGACATGCTATCTCTGGTCTTCGTTTCTACGTACCTACATGTATATTCCAAAAAGAGTAAAATAAAAAAATTGCTTTTAGTGCGCGCACCAAATTGCAAACCCACTCGTGCCCAATACACTATCCACACCAAACACACATCTCTACCCCACGCACACTCTCACATCTAAATCGGCCTCGTCATCACTACTCAACACACTACTCTCCTCCTCCTCCTCGCGGTCACACTCCGCCACCAAATCCCTATACCAAAAGAACTGCGCGAAAATCACCAAGTCCAGCCCCAACGTGCCAAAGCTACCCAACAACCAGCTCGCATTCACCGCTACATACTTCCTATACTCGTCCCTAGCCTCATCCGCATTACCCGCGCGCGGCACATAGGCCAGGATCGACACCACATACGTCAAGTTTCCCAAGCAGGCAAACAGGAAGAACAGCAGACTAATGCCGTCGCACGACTTGCGCCGGTAGTTGAGCAGGATCTGTGGTAGGCGGCTGGCAAGGTAGAGGACTGCGCAGAGGTAGCCGAAGATCTGGCCGAGTTGTGAGAACTGTATGTCGGCTGGAGGAGATGTGGGGTCGTCGTGGTGCGGGTACTCGGCCTCGCTGATCCACCAGCCGAAGACGCCGGCGATGCAGACGCTGAGGATGGCGGTGAGGTTGAAGAGGATGGTTTGTGCGAGTCTTTGGGGCCGTTCGGGGATTAAGTCTTTGGAGAGGGGGTCGAGGAGGGGGGTGGCGGGGGAGAGGTGTGAGCCGTCGACGCTGAGGGTTATGGCAGGGACGTCGTGTTCGAGCAGCGTGGGTGTTGAGTTGAGGCGCTTGTAGTAGAGGCATTGAAAGAGGAGGACAACGTCTGCAATTGTATAGTAGACGGCGAGGATTACCTGTGACGGTGAGTATAGTCCTACTAACTAATAAGAACTGACTATGAACGCATATGGGGGTATTTTGGTACCATGGTGGGCAATACGCCCTGAAGAACTGCACCGAGGACATTAAAGACGTCGCCAGCGAGCCAGACAATGAGGAAGGCCAATGACAGGCCTTCGGCGGAACCTCGCCGGAACTAAATAATCGTTATAAAAAGCTCTTTATATTGGATTTTAAAGGCCAACAAACATTGGTTATTATCTGTGGTGAAAATACTACAATCCAGCAGGCAATTGATATTGACCTATGTGTCATAAGTGCAACTTGTCAGTCGACTCACAATTCTTCATCGGACAATTGCAACAGAACGGACGAACCCCACTATGCCACTGATGGCCCTAGCATCTACGTTTAGGTGGTGCGACGGTGGAAACATCATCATTTTTCCCAACAATTTATTCTATCGTGGTTGTTGTTCGTTCAGCCCGGCTTTGTTCTTGTGTACCTGCTTATGACGCCATTACCATGTCAGTACAACATGCTGGTATCCCAATTGTGACTCGGAGCAATTAACTCCAGGCTGCAAACTTGGGGGGATCTCACGAGCAAGCAAAAAGTCTACCTGTAGCTAAGCAGACAGGAATTTTCTTGGAAAGAGCGGAGCAAGAATGCGTTGTAACCAGAAGGAGGGTACGTCTGGAAAAATCTCAGCCCAGGACACACGACAGGCAGGACACACAACCCTTGAACCCCAACGGCCCTTTTTTTTCTTTCTCTTTCCGGATCGCCCAATAATATCGCCGGTAGAATCCGCAGGCCCATTTTAACCTTGCATCCGTTCCTGGCATGGCAGTCCGTTCTGAAATATGCGGGGATTAGAAGTGTGGGGAGATCTTACCCGGCCGGGGCAACTAATCCTCATACAGCCCGTGAAGGGTTCTAGTTGCAGTGTCGTAGCCGGGTTTTCATGATGTCTGAAAATGTTTAGTAGCCCAAACTAGGCATAACGTAGACCACATACACATCCTGCTCCATCCGCCCCCAGAAGAAAAACATGTCTCAGTAATCTCAAAGAGGATTAATACCACACATAACTAAGGTTTTATGCATAGAGAAGTACCGAGCCGAATAGTTGACATATTATCATTGGCCGTCGTCGGGAGTCCAAAACTGCATATGCGTCCGGGAAGTTTATATTATGTAACTTGAGGCATTGAGTATATGCCACTCAAGGCTATCCCTAAGCTGCTCAAATATCAAATATATGTGTGGATTTCACCCTCATAGTCCAGTCCCAACAGGCCCGAGTGGGAAGAGGCCCTAACTGCACACTCCATGAAGTTTTGACCTCTCAGAGTAGTCAGGCTGTGCTGCCATAATCTTATGTGTCTCCTCGAGTCTAAGACGGTGGTTTTTGCCATATAAATATACATTTCAACTCATGGTCCTTCAATCATACCATCAACTCTAAAGTGCCCTTCTTCACCATCCCTGAACGCTTTCCAAGGAACCGAATGCAATTCCCGCCCTAGTAGAATAAAGCTTGCCAAATTGAAGGGTGGATATCCCGCTCCATTTCATTCCATCCAAATAAATCCTAGGTGGTAATATATATAATGCCTTCTCCTCACCAACTATAAAAGTAGGAGAATACATGAAAGAAGTCAAACAAACGAAAAGATATAGCAAAGGTATAATAAGCTGGCCAAATAATTACGAAAAAGAGAAAAACCAAAACTCCCACATACCCCCACTCCAATCATACCCAAAATAAGAGATATTAATGAACAGAGAACTCAAAGAGAAAAAAGTCCGCTAAAGGTGAGTGCATATCATTACGCACCATATACTTGGTAAATACATACGTAAACATGACAAAGGGAATTCATCAAAATCCACTCCCTCATCGCCCAGCTTCAGTTACTGTTTTTGTTAACGTCAGCTCACCTGCTTCTCCCTCTGCCGTTCGCTGATAAAAATCAGCGGATTCCAACCCTCCCTCTTCCTCCTCCCCTTCTTCTTCCTCATCACTACTGCTGCCGTCAGCATCGTCCTCTGAGCCACGTTTTCTTTCGTAATCCTTTTTATGTGCATTTGTCATCGTCCGTCCCAAGCGTTCCAGGGCCTGCATGGCAGGACTTCCTGACCCATGCCTCCTGATCCTACTGTTCCGGCTTTGCCTGTGGCGCATACCAGTTGCATGGCCTTGTTCGATATCCACAGTTGGGTGTGCGGGTGTGACAAGAAGTGGTTCAGAGTGTGCCTCCGGATTCTCTGGAACAGGTGATGCGACCATTGCAGTTGAATCATTATCGCTCGCGAAATGATATGGTAGTCGGGGATCGCGGTATGCCCGGTTTGCCCCAACGCTGCGAAAGATGTCAGTGTCTATAATTCCCCCTTTTTATTCAGACTGGATGGAAGCCAACTTACTTGCCGCAATGCTCGTTCTCCATACGGAAGAAACACCAGATGAATCGTCGGAATACTTCTCCTACAGAAATCATAAAACTTAACAATGCTGAGTGCTGTATTTCGTGGGCATATATGATGTAGAAAACCCAGCTGAATCTCAATGGAGGGTCGACAAACATGGCAAAATAATACGGCCATGCTTTCTTGAACCCAACCCTATCACGGAGGAACGGCCAGCGGGCGTAGGGATTAAGGAGCGACCAATCCATCACAATATCCCAGAAAACTGCCATGATGTCAGGACCAAATCAAAATACCAATGGAACGAGAAACTTACTACTGACAATGGAACTGATAGTCGCCATTGTTATGAATAGGCCCCTCAAGACATTATTCGATTTGTCATTCCTCCACAAAGTCAACGTCAAATATTGCAAAATGGTCAATCCATATTTAGCGCCGTTGGCAAGATGAGGGAATGCCTGCCGCGAATCATAATAACGACGGAAACATTGTAGAAGACGCCAAATTGCCGGAATACACATGAAAACGCCCATTGTGTACGAATGCGAGGAATTGCATTGCTCAGGTTTGTCCCAAGCTTGGGCGTAGAGGCAAAAGTACAGGTATATATTCTTCTCTTGTGTCAGCGAACCAATTTAGATTTGAGAATTCAAATAATAACTTACTCCGAGTGCGTAGGTCTGCGAGCATAACATGTCTCCCATCCAAAAATCCTTGAACTCAACGCGGTAGAAACCAGATAACATCAATCTCACCTAAAATCCAGTTGTCAGAACCCCCAAATCAGAAGAGAATCATGATATAAGAAACTCACCATAGTAGTGATGAAATAGAGCCGGGCACGAAAGTAAAAGGCCTTTATGGGGTTAAACAAGATAACGCCGGCAATTGCAACAAAAATAATAGGGAAATGTATCATATCTAGCTCTCCTTCCCAAAAGTTTTGAATACTAAACCAGAAGCAGATCGTAAATATGAGACCAAAGAGCGAGGGAATTTCTAGGAATTGACGATGGTTGAGGTGGTGCCTATTATCAAATTCAAAGATAAAGGCATAATTGATCCGGTTTCTTGCCCAAATCCGAAGATTGATAGCAAATAGTAAGGTTTGAAGTAAAATAAGAAAAACTCCACCCCATATCTATCAAAATTCATGGTTAGAGTGTTTGAATACTTCAAGGTATTGAGTGGGGAACTCTACCTGCAAAATATAACTTGTTTGGATCTTCATTTCAGGATCTTCGTACGGATCCTTCAATATACGCAATGCTTCCCATACTGATGATAGGCCAATGACCAACGAAGCTCCCAGGAAAAAACCACTCCTCAACAAAGAGGAATGGTAAACAGACTTATTCTCCTTGGTACGAAGCCTTAATGCAGCTTCTTTACGATTTGACCTTGAGAAAAACCTTGATAAAAACAACCATTAGTTCAACTTCCGCCAGATCTAATAATAGCATAATACCTAGCGAATAATATCTCAGTATCATTGATCAGGTCGTCGAGCTTATTTTCGGTTCCACCAAAATAACTCTTATTGATATGTTCGCCCATGAATTTCCCTGACGTTCTCAACCCAGAAACTTTGTCAAATTTCTTCGTGATCTTCCGGAAAGCATCACGATTCAACTGCACATAAGACTTCAAGAGTTCCAGCCGATGGTAATACTCAACGTATGCATATTTGAGCTTAGATTTCGCCAATTTGTGCCCAGGATCGTTGGTCGGTCTCCTCCGCTCGTAGTCCCTTCTGGCATCATCACTATCCCTATTTTCAGATGAGAGGCTCATGATATCTGGATCTTGACCGTTGTCCTTCCCTCGCCCCATAGATGCAAGTGTATCTCTCCACCCAGACCTCCGACGCGCTCCCTCGACCCCATCTTCATGACCACTAGTAGTTCCCTGGCTGCTACGGTTGTTGCTTGGTTGCGATATGTGCACATCGTGAACGTCGCCAGCATCTCCTTCGTATGCAATCCGGTAATGATGTTTGAACCACCGGTCTCTCAAAATATCTAGTTGCTCCTTCATTTCGTCAAATCGTTGCACGGCCTCATCTTCCCTCTGCTTATAAAACTCCTCAATTCTTGACAGTTCTAAAATCAGCCAATCATGGAACTCGAATGCTGCTATGGTCTGTGCTTTTGTAATATCAATGATGCCAGTATTTTCTGTAGAATTGGGACCAAAAAATGTTGAAACCCTTTTTACAAACGGTCGAGGACTAAATGTCATAGAGCGTGCAAGAATACTTCTCATTGGCGTGTTTGATTCTTCCTCTATCAATGGTCGTTGCGTTGTTTGCGGTGATATCATTGAGTCAGGCAGTGGGAGAGGAGAAATTTCATCAATTTCGGCGGTGTTCGCGCGGAGCATGGGATGGTTGTGACGGGGACTACGGGGGGGCGTATTGTTTTCCAAGAGCAGTTCGACTAGAGGTTCTAGAGGCTGAATGGGCTCAGGAAGCTTCAGAGAAGGTGGTTCTTGTCGATCATCGGTCGAGGAATTGGCCGCTGCTGCTTTCTGTAAGCTACATTCGATGTTTGCGGAACCCCGTCTTGAATTACCGCCACCCCTCCAGTGGACTTCCCTCGGAAACTCCACTGAAGTTGGCGATATGCTAAAAGAAAAGCGATTACCTGCCCCGGGATCCTGGGAACTGGGAACATCTTTGTTGAGGGCGGCAGGCCCTGGCGGGGTCCAAGTAGGATTTTGAGATATGCCCCTCTTGGAATCGCTCCTCTTGGCACTATCGTGATGGTGCCAATGGGGGTTCAATCCGCTCCTGGATAGGGCAGCACGAGCACGGGTTTTGGTGCGATTGAGTTTATCCTTTGCGTTGGTTGAGGTAGGTATATTTGATGGTATTCGAAATGTGTTCGTTACGTGCTTGATCTTCTTTTTCCCTTCCTAGAATAACAAACTAGGGTTAGCAGAGGGCTTGGTGGTTGATGTCAAGTGTCTATATCCAATAGTTAAGGTCTGAGAGAAATAAGAGTTGACGCCTAGCCACGGGCTAGGTGTGAGGCTCATTGGAAGGTCCAGAATACATGACGATCATATCACACCACTTTCTCCCGCCACATGGTGCTCGCCCAGTATCTTGAAGTTATCGACAATTGAGGTCTACCTTGTATTGGATATACTGGGAGCTCCATTCAGGAACCATAAGCTCCTCCATGGACCTATATGCATTTTCTCAGCCGTTAATAAGATTTTCGCTGCAGTTGTTTGCGTGACTGTGGTAGCTCAGGCACAACCCCGCAATGGGTGCGACTGGAAAGGAAAACCGAACCAAAACAACGGGGGTTTTTACTTACTTTGCGAACTTCATGACGTATGTTGCCGATTATGTGAGTATAAAACCGTAAAGTTAATCAAACCCCAAATTATGGCAGATGTCCGAAATGGACAGGAATCAACAGCTGACCAAACCACAGACGACCTGGGAAGAGCGTCGGGGCAAGGAGAAAGAAAGCAAAATAAGTATGTATGTCCAAAGGACAGGAGTAGCTGCGAGAGCAGAAAACGGTGAACAAAAGTAAAAGAGGGTCGGAGCAGAAAGCAGAAACAACCAGGACCGAAACCTAAACCGTGCGGATGCCGAAGTGCGAGCAACAAACGATATATAACAATTTGTGCACGCACTAACTGCTGCTGTTATCATCGGGTAGGGTGGGGCATTCACAGGCTAGACCCAGTCAATTATACTTGGAAGCTTGGTTGCCATCAAATACTCAAAGCAATTCGTTACATACCTGTCACCCTGCCAGTAAGGAATCATTCACATTTTTCCTGGTCAGTGGGCAACCAGTAGTGTAATCACGATGCACCCTGCAGCAGCAGCAAGACCCGCATGAGGGAAATGGTCGTGTGTGTCTCTCTATTATGCGCCGCAATCCCGTAATCAGCAGGGAATGGGTTTTTTGGGACAAGCGACAGCCCAGTTGTCGATCAGCCGCCCAGACCTACTGTGCTATCTGAGACCCAAATAAATATTTGCCCTCTGCATGTTTCGCCAGGACATGCTAAAAAAGAGGCTTTGCGGACAGCCCCTTCAACAACCTAGCTACGATAACCAAGTACCATATCAACTTGATCCTAGGGGAAGCCTACCAAAAGGCCATAAAGGGGCACTTACAAGTGCGCAAAAGGTTTTGCTCAGGAAAAAAACGGAACCCCCCATTGGCTAGAGGATGGCAAAAATAGCCCGAAGTCTCATCTCCGAGTAGGATAATAATTCTTGATTCACATGGCTCTGCCACCCCAAGAATTACAAACTTTTTTTAAACCATGTAGTTTTGTTTCAAGAATTACAAACTTGCCCCTGTGTTTAGTATATGTATGTGTATATCTGGACGACGGAAACAGAGAGTTTCGCCGCGCCACTAGTATCTATCACGATTTCACCCTGAAATAATATTCTGGAGTCATGATCTATCAACAAGATTTGACACCGACTGCGTCTATGTCTTACTAATATATAACGTGAGTGCATGTTTTATAAAAAGTTGACGTGTCTAGAAGATTGGGTTGTGATATACATGTAACTAGGTAGTACGTAGCTAGGTACATATATGCCTTCCGTCTCAAAAGCTCAATTTTTGACGATGCCTCATGTTAGATTTTCCGGGGCGTGACTCTTGAGCCAGGCGGGTTGGGAGACCATCAGCGGCGTAGAGAGAACCTTACATAGGTACAAGATCTTCCATTTCCAACCTAGACGAATGAAATCTTGATCACTAGGGAACCCCCTGTAGATCTGCTCTTTATATTACTCTGATTCCATTCCAACGTGGTGAAACAAAGCAGGATAGAATAAGGCATTAGCTATCGGCAGTTTAAGTGGTTGTTATAAGATTCTCGCCAATTCAGCCCTACATGAACCTGACGTACCAAATCTCGATCGTTGGGTCAATGATAAACGAGTACATGTATCAGGTACCTACTCTACTTACAAATGAGTGGACGGAGTAGTAATCCACTTGCATGGCATATGTACTCCCCACGTGTGTTTCTGGTAGGCATTCCAGACCCCAGAACAAAGTATACATTTTCCCAAAAATAAGGTTTGCTCAGCCACACAAATAAGGTGTATCTGTCATGCTCTAATCCTACCACTCCTCCTAAGTACTTACAAGTACCTACTCTCCATTTTATCGTGCACTCATGCCCTAGGCAACCCGCCAACCTTGAAGAACCGGCCTACAATGAAGAACAGGCCTAAAATGCCGTTCTTGTCGGATCTCAGGACTAGCCCAGGGCGAAACGCCACTCAACTATAATGGCGTGGTCTTACATAGCGCAAACCGCACTGGGCTGCTTACTTGTGAAACAGCAGACACTCGAATTCATGTCGTGATGACACGATTGATAACCGTTATTGTTCCTAAGCAAATCACACCCAGTGATTTATGCACCTTGGAAGAAGCAATTAAGACCACTCAGTAACGGCAATGGGAACCCGTGAGCTTATGCTGGATAAGCATACCCAGACGCACTTACAGCTTTGCAAAGACCAATAGGTATATATTTGCTATCGCTTTCGACTATGATCGACAATCGAGCATACATCTCACCTTCGTATTTGGTCCTTTGCAGCATGCATAAAGGCTTTTTTAATACTTAGCTTTTCCTAATTGAGTGGACCGCGGATAAGGATACGGAGAGCCTAGAAACTTAGCCACAACAACTACCACAACTTCTATTTTTTAATAATAGGGCCTTGCTCTACTACGGTAAGCAAGTCTGAGGCTACCGTCATCGCCCGATCAAGACCATACAGTGAGTTCTTGTCTTTCCAATAGAAGCAAGGACTTCAAGTCCTGCATAGTCAGCTAACAAAGAAAAGACACGGTTCATTAGTTGACTGTATAACGCTTATAAATTGCCTCTTAGAATGAATTTGCAACAGCCTGTGAGGGGTAGCGGGGCCAGCGCCGATAGGATTGAACTGGATTGGCCACTCACCAAAGTACCAAAGAAACATCCTAGATGACTATATCCAGGGGAGAAGGTATAAAGAATTCGTGAAATCCCTTATCGACAGAACTCAGCGGGGTTAGTACAAAACCACATCGAGCTCCCAAGAAATTTTGCGGCTGTGGCCCGAGGTAGAATTCCAGGTCTCGAGGCCTAAATTTTTCCACGGATCTTAATCTTTATCCTACTTCCCCCAACATCGTCCAATTAGATCTTCCCGTTAGATCTTTCCAGAATTACGGGATATTTTCTTCTTTCTTTTGGAGTAACGTTCATGGGCCATCACTCGAGGAGGAGGAGGCAGTGTCGTTGTTTTTAAATTTAGTGTTTCCTGATATGGATGATGACCATTGCCAAGGAATGATTACAACCGGAATTCAAAAGACCCTTACTAGTACTACGAGCTATTGTACCGTAAAGAACTTTTTCCTCTATGCGTCCTACTACTACTACTACTTATATTTTCTATGCGAATAGGACCGATGAGCTGGGCCCCGTGGTGGTCTATCTATGAGGACTTCTCCAAGCCAATTTGTGCCCTTTAGGATTCTTCAACGCTGAAGCCTCGTTCACCAAAAATACCTTTTCAAAACGCATCTACGACTGTATTTCCGGGCTGATTGGCGGTCTAGCAAATATTTGGTTGCTAGATCAAACTAGCCGGGATATTTCGCTGGAATTCGCTAAATGTCAATGACGTATAGAAGAGAAGCCACGATTTATCCTCTCCATACGCGCTCATCACATACCAACAATTCTTTGCTGACATGTATACGTTTGACGATCGACAGAGACTGGGAACTTAAGGACCCTAGACCCTCTGTACATTCCGATGGCCTTCTACTGTGATCGTTGTTACTTGAACTATTAAGATCCCTGATTATGATGAGCATTCTACTCCGCAGACGAAGGTCGTGAAAAACTACCACGACCTTTTGCTGAACGCCTAAGTAGATCTGCTTAATGATTGTTTATAGCTTTTAATCTATGACTGGGCGTATTCGTCACTGCAGAAGATAATCATCAAAGACTTTACTCTTACTCATAATCCAATTGTTAGTGTAACACGAATACCTAATCCATCAGTACCTACAAAATATGTGGTTGGATTAGGACGAAAAAGCCCCTATATATATGTGGCTCCGAAGCTCATCTCCAGAGCTCGAGCAGTAGGAGTAGGTACAGTGCACTTTTAATTAGAGAGGTTCTTCCCGCAATTGTTTGAAGACGATCTACTGAAATTTTTCATTGAACTGGTCTCAATTGGGATACACATGTGGCGCCTAAACACAGGCGAGTCTCATTTGAGAATGGTATGGCCGAAGCCCAGAAATGATATCAACACTTGCGGTAAAAGCTACATCTTGTGTGCCCCTTACAACTCGTCGAGTGATAATCAGTGCTGCCCCCAATCAGTTGGCGTCGCCTGGCAGGACACATATGCAGTGATCCGGCGGTATGTGGTTACCATTGTAACCTTCTCCCTACGAGTCCAGGCAGTATGACCTGAATTCCCATTATTCCGTACCTACAGGAGAGAAAGCATATATATATCTCCTATTGTACACACAAGCCCACTGATCTGGGCACAAATAAGCTTTCACCATGGGCCAGATTATTGGTCTACATACTCCAATATTTCCCGCCTTCATCAAAGAGAGAAAAGGAATGGCGCACTGATTCAAATTTTCAACAAAGCATCGGCGACAAGATCCTCATTCGGAAATCGGCACCTACCCCCCTCTGGATACGTCGACGGAGGTGGTGGGAGGAGGCTCAAAAAGAAAGGTTTCCATGATCAAAATTGGCAGAGCGAGCGAGCGGGCCCCTGCCTCCTATTCATTTTGTATCTATGTTTTTTTTTGTTACAACCCAGTAGCATCCTCATCCCAACAATCGATCATCCAACCTGAGTAGCAGCTAACTAAAGTACATACCCAGGACGAGGTTTTGTGAAGGGGAACGGAATTACGAAAGGAACAAGAAAAGGGAACACCCCCGGTAAAAGCAGCAAACAACTAATCACTCGCCGGAGAGTCATTTACACGCATCATCGATTATAAATCTACATAGTCAGCTTTTTTTCTTTCTCCTCAAGTCCCTTCTTATTCTTTCTCGCCCGGCCTGGCGACTTTGTTTCTTCAATTATTCGTTCCGAGATTCTATCCAGTACACCATCATCACATCCACATAACAGCAGTCCCCACAGCACCGTCATCGCGCATGATCTCCCCCCGAGCTGTCATTCCCCCAGTGGGTGGGAGGCTTAACGACGACGGTGTTCCTGGCACCGTCGGCGAGTTGTCGCTTGCAAAGTCAACGGCTGCGTGGGTGGCACTTGTCTGGTTCATC